AAAAAATGAATGATACTGTCATAAATTACTGAATATATATATATATATATATATATCACACCTACCTTCCCTAACAGAGAAGGGCATAGTAACAACTCCATAAGCCCCAGGAACACCGTACAAACAACATATGAAATCTGAGAGGTAGTCTAATACTGACAAATCATGTTCAACAACTATGATGAACCTGAAACAGAAATATACGTCAGCATGACATGAACATGTGCATTTCTGACACCACATAAGCAAACACAATAACACTCATCAGTGCCTTACTGCACAAATATCGGAAGTAATCTTACTTGTCTGGATGTATGAGAGATCGGATAGTGACAGCAGCATTTAGACGCTGCTTAACATCCAAATAACTGGAAGGTTCGTCAAACATGAAAATATCTCCATCTTGAATGCACACCATGGCACAAGCAAAACGTTGAAGCTCACCTCCTGATAAGGCTTCAATTGAGCGATTACGAATATTATCTAAATCTGTAAAAAAAATCTACAATTTATATTGAATATATATATAGCGACTGGGTACCAGCTGGACAAGGGTAGGGGTGTGAGTCCCCAGTAGGGTCAAAAATTTTCTCTTCTCCAAATCATCCAGACCAGCTCTGGGGTCCACCAAACCTCCGGTCCAATGGGTACCGGAGGCTTTTTCCTTGGGGATAAAGGGGCCAGAACATGAAGCTGACCACTCGCCTCCAGCTAGTGCTGAGGTCAAGTAAATGTGGATATATACATCCACTCCTTCATATGCCCTCATGGCGCAATGCTTAATTCATTAAGCACAGGGACAACCCTACTTTTATATATATAGCAAACTCCTGATTATCTGGAGTAAATGAGAAAACGAATTTTCCTAATTAATTAGCAAAATGAATATCTAACTAACTAGAGAATTGGGATTTATAAAATGACACATACAGTTACAAGTATGTATATTTCATTTGAACACTATTGGTATTATTATTTTTTATTATTATTAATTTAACTTCTTCTGTTGAGCCCTACTGGTTAACCATTGGATATAGAAAAGTAAAAAATACAAGACAGTACAATATTAATAAATAATGATAAATAAATAAATAAAATAAATAAGACATGCAATCATTAAAAGATCTTGTTGAAAATATAAAAATAATAAAACACTGTAAATACTGATACAATGATGTTGCTATTACTATCAGAAATATATCTAGTTTTATGCATAAAAAAATCATAGAACAGAACAATGTAAATACTGACACGATGTTACAATTACAATCAAAAATACTTATCTAGTTTTATGCATAAAAATTCACCCACAGTATAAAAAGAATGCTCATGCAAATACTTTTTAATGCTTTTTTAAAGCTTTTAATAGCACATGCCAAGTCCTTAATGTCAGCTGGAAGATGGTTATATACCTTAACGCCTGCGTAGGTGGGACTTTTATGAAACATCATCAAGTGAGTCGTTACTTGAAAGAAATTAGAATTATTCCTGGTATTAAAATTATGAATTTCAGACTTTTGTCTAAACAATGATTTATTGGCAACCATAAACAGAGCCAAGGAGAGTATGTACCGAGATGCTGGAGGTAGTAATTTAAAATTTTAAAAAATTTTCTGCAAGAATCCCTGGGTCTTGCTTCCATTAGTATTCTAACCATTCACTTTTGGAGCTTGAAAATATTCGTACTGTGGGAAGAAGTTCCCCAGAAAATTAATTTGTATGTTATAGCTGAATGAAAATAAGCATGATAGATTATCTTTAGGGAATTTAAAGATAAGAAAGGTCTGAGTGCTCTTGTAATATGACATGCTTTGTTTAATTTGGAAGCCAACATATTGGTGTGACTCTTCCAAGACAGAGTACTGTGAAGTACTAGCCCAAGAAATTTTAGTTAAGTAGTATTGGATAATTTTGTTGTTATATTTGATTTGTATTTCAGAATTAATAATATCTTTAGAGTGGAGTCCCATACAATAGGTTTTGTCCAGATTTAATGAGAGTAAATTTGCCTTAAAGAATTTCATCACACTAGTGAAGACTGACTTCAAGTTATTTCCTAGTACAGTATTGTTTTGATTACTGACGATTACGCTAGTATCATCATCAAATAAAATTGTTTGGGGGTTTTGCACTGACATTCAGATATTTTATTGATAAAGGTAGGTCATTGATATATAGTAGGAAAAGTAGTGGTCCCAGGATTGATCCCTGGGGAACACCATGTTTGACCTGACCCCAATCTGATTCACTCTTATCAAAAGGTCCATTTTTAATTACCACCCTTTGATATCGGTTTTGAAGATATGATTTTAATAACATATATACGTTGTCAGTTATACCAATAAATTCAAGTTTATCTAAAATTATTTCATGATTTACGCAGTCAAAAGCCTTCTCCAAATCAAAGAAGATTCCACCTACTTTTTCTTTATTGTTAACAGTTGCTAAAACTGTATTTAGTAAGTTATATGGAGCTGTTTCAGTGGATAATTTGCGACGAAACCCGAACTGTTCATTGGCTAGGCTGTCATAAGCGTGAACATGTGTCAATAATCTTCTAAATATTATTTTTTTCAAACACCTTGGAAAATGAAATTAACAATGAAATTGGTCTATAATTTGCACAGTTCTTCTTATCACCTTTCTTGTATATAGGAGTTATAATCAAGTATTTCATATGTAAGGGGAATTTACCAGCTAAGGCTGCTTTATTGAATATAGAGCATAATGGGGGAGAAATGTATGGGGCACTAATTTTTAGTGTCTTCATAGAAATCTCATCATATTCAGAAGAATTTTTTAAATGGAAAGAAGAGATAACTTTTTCAGTTTCTTTAGTTGTTATTTTATTGAATATTATATTGGGAAAGGGGCCCTTAGCTGTCAAGTTCAGATAATGTTTATAATTATTGTTATTATCAGTATGTGAAGTAATTTGAGTAGAATTTTTTTTTAGTAATATCAGCAACATTTAAAAAACGATTATTAAAAATACTTCGATTTATTTTCTCAGTTTTACAGTTGTTGTCCTTCAGGCAGTTTTTACCTAACTCCGCTTTAATAATATTCCAAGTAGTTTTAATAGCATTATTGGAGTTGATAATTTTATCATTATAGCTTTGCCTCATTAATCATCTTAGTCAGGATCTTACTACATGATTTATAATATTGCTTTAGATTGTTGTTATCAAGTATCTTTGTCAAAAGGTACAGTTCTTTTTTCCTTTTGCAAGAAGTTTTAATTCCAATGGTTAACCATTGTTTAGCAGGAGATTGCTCATAGAGCAATAATAGAGCATGGTTTCTGAGAAGCTCCTGTGCCATTTCCACACATTTATAAGAAGGGGAAAAACAAAGTTTTATTGAGTTTCCAAGTATACATTAGATTGTGAAATAAAACACTAACTTTGTTTTGCACTCGTTCCCCTTTAAAAAGCAGTTTCACATGAAGTTGTTTGACAGTGGGCATCCCAGACAATTTTCTAAATAATGCCCCTGGATAATCCACAACCCAGATAATCCACTTCCAGTTAACTGGCAGTCTACTGTGCATTTCGAGCATGTCATGTAATATATGGAGAAAGAAAATAATTCACCAAAACATCAGAGAACCCAAATTTGAAAAATTTATTTCACACAATAATTTTAACACCCTCCTTAGAATAGCATAGGCCCACACAACAGGCATACAATGAAAGAACACCAGAGTGAAGATAACAGCTTTATGCACAACACTGCCTTACCAAGGAGTTGACATATTTCGTTCTGGTTCTTGCGTTCATCCTTCTTATCTAGTAATTGCTGAACAGTACCCTTCACAGCTTTGGGAATTTGATCTACATACTGTGGTTTGATCAATGCTTTCAAGTCATCCTCCAATATCTTGGTGAAGTAATTCTGGAGTTCTGACCCACGGAAATGATTCAAGATCTCTGTCCAGTCTGGTGGATCCTAAATACAATTTCAGAGTTAATATAATTACATTCAAAATATAGAAATACCAGTAGTTCTCCTATATCTATATTTAACTAATATACCTCAAAATGACCTCATCTGATTAGCTAACACACTTTGATTCACAGCAGTATTTAGACTTTACTTGTTATACATGTGACATGTTGCACATTTAATGATCTTTTCTGCTCCTAGTATCTGGTGTCCTACAGTGACAATGCAGAAACATCCTCTGTACAATCTCTTAACACTGCAACTTACGTGAGTCTTTTCATTACTGGAAATTGTTACTACAAAAATACAGGTACTCCTTGTCAGATGTGAGTTAAAAAAATGTAATTTATTTTAACATGATCAACTTCAATAAATAGAACTCGCTTAAGAATTTATTGCCGGCCAAGCCAGGAATATGGGGAAGTGGGTGAGCAGATTATTGTGTGGGTCTGCACAGGAGAAGGGAGAAATTATGTTCAATTTATGTGATTTCACTCTCTGCAACTTTGCTTTTGAAACGCAGCCATCACATTTACAGACAAGTAACTGTACATAATATTTTGGATTCCCTCCTCACCTCCCCCAAAAGGGGAGATAATACTGGGTTGATTTATATGGAGTTATGTTGGGAAAAATGCCATTTCTAAGTAATGTTTTAGACATTATAACCGAGTATGTTACTACCCTGTATTACTTTTGCAGAAAACACCCTTAACATTATGGCACTTGGTTTACTTCTAAATGTTAACTTTCCACAACATAACTGTAGGCCTGGATTCATTTTTGTTACGAGGGAAATACCAGGAGGGGGTTGAACATCAGTATTACTTACTGTATAGCGACCAAGGTTCGGTTTCTGTTTGCCTGCCAGAATTTTCAGTGCTGTAGATTTGCCAATACCATTGGTGCCTACAAGACCCAACACTTCTCCAGGTCTTGGTATTGGAAGTCGATGAAGCTTGAATGAATTCTGTGAATACCGGTGGGTTGTATCCTTCTCTAAGTTGCTGGGCAAATTAATTATAGTAATGGCTTCAAAAGGACATTTCTGAAATGAATACGTCTGCTTAGTTCTAAGAGAAATCATGTGTCTTCACTTCAAATTGTACAGTGAGTTTAAACAGTAAAAATACTGTTAATATCACTGCCTTACCTTAACACAAATACCGCAACCAATGCAAAGTTCTTCTGAAATACTTGCTATTTTATCATTTGGAGTTACTTCAATGCACAGTTTTCCCATGCGAACAACAGGGCATGATTTCTTACACTCCTGTCGACATCTCTTGGGTTTACACTTGTCTGCATTTACAATGGCAATTCTAGTAAGTTTGTCTGTCTCTTCAGTAGCTTTGCTTCGTGGCATCCTGCAATTAAGAATGCATGTTTTAAGTGTTTACAGCATTATAAAAACATTTACGTATTGGTGGGTTCCTGATTGTAGTGGTATACCTCCGATGATTCATTAAGAGTCGAAACATGTTAGGTAACTAAGTGCTGAAGTGGTGAAGGCATTATATGTCACACTGGACTGAAATAAACTTAATTGTAAAAATGCATAACTGTCAGAAGCAACAGTAACATTTTTATTACATAATGTGGGACCCTCAACGTTTCACAACCCTATGGGCCTTCATGGCCTGGTACGGGGATAGCTTTACTTTTTTTTTTACTTTTACACACACACACACACACACACATATATATATATATATAATAAAAGCAATTTTAAAAATAAATACTTTCTAAATGAGTGTAATAGTAGATACACATCTTAATATAATGGTACTAGAATTATAGATGTTTGCTCATCAATCCACATTTAAAAAGGACCGAAATGGTACAAAAATAACTTATCGACTTTCCATTATACAATGAAAGAAAATTAACTGCTGCAGTCACACACGTTTTCTTATAATCTCGCAATAAAGACTGTCCAAACTACAATGGTAAATTCATGTAACGTTTACAATATATATAAGATGTACCAAATGCAGGAGAGCAGTCGGTATAGCGACTGGTTACAGGCAGGACAACTGAGGGATCGGAGTTCCAGTCCCAGTAGGGTCAGAATTTTCTCTCATCATATCATTCAGACTGGCTCTGGGGCCCATCAGCCTCCTATCCAATGGGTACCGGGGGGACATTTCCCCGGGGGTAAAGTGGCAGGTGTGTGAAGCTGACCACTCACCTCCAGGTAGTGCCAAGGTCAAGAAAATGTGAATCTATACATCCACTCCCTCATATGCCTTCATGGCTTAGTGCTTAATTAGTTAAGCTGAGGGACAACTTTACCTTACCAAATGTAGGATTTGAGGTTTTCACAGAGGTGGTTATGAAGAGTTCCATCTTCTGGAATATAACACAGTGTAGTTCAGTGAAAGTCAACCGATGTTTCAGATGAGCTCTACTTGCTGCCTGCTCCATGCTGGTTTTTCGTTTGGCTTACACTTCAGCCCTGATGATGTTGGCGACATATTCCACTGAATCGTCGGTTGACTTCCAGGGGACTACTTGGCGCTATATATCCGAAGCAGAAACACTTCATTAACGAATGTTAATAAAAATATGCTTCTCATAAGACATCTGCACTATATCCACCAAACAAGCGAAAGTTAAAAGCCACTTACGTAGCTTGCACCTAGCAAAATAAACTGAATGTACTCTGTATTTTAGGATTAAATATGGGTTTTAAAGGTTAGCGACGGTTTGATGAAACATCTGTTGCAATACAAAACATACTAGTAATCTTTGAAATATAAGTTTTTCTGTATATAGTTTTTAGTTGATTCCATAAGTATCGTTTCTATGTTTATACAATTTAAAGTCTCACACACCTTCGTAACGGCAAGTCGTGGACGTAGTCCACTTGGCAGTACCAATGCCCAAACCACGTCAGCCTCGCTAGAGGTCAGCCATTGTTGGTGAAAATTTGAACGTTCAGATTATATTGGTAGATTGGTAATGCTGTTGTTCTTCATGGATCATTGTTGCTGATTAATTTTGGTCACGTATAAAATGTATAATATTTATTTAAACTACAAGGTTTTTAAATACAGTTATATGGAGAACATGATATCCACTTTCTTCATATGTTTATGCATAAATATCTCATAATTTCGGATGCGATGCGTTACTGTTTAATTCCAAATATACTAGAGTGAAATAATTGCATTCGATGTCAAAGATTTCAAAATAATTGAAGGAATAATGTATTATATTCTACCACATTTAGAGTCATGTTGTTAATAGTGATCAATATTAAGTCGGAGTGGTTTGCTGCTTTATGTGAAGTAATGAGCAAAGATATAATTACGCAGACGGAAGTTAAAACGTTATGTAAGGCATCTTTCTTTGTGGTTCTTTGGTCCATGTCTGGTAACTTAACCAAAAAATTTGTCGGTAATCATAACCGGGTTGAAGTTTAACAATGAATATCAAGTCATCTGGTCAGTATTTCAACATAGTCAATTAAGATGAATTAAGATGATGGTACTCATTAATTGTTCATGCTCATTTCCATAAGCGTCGTGTGAGAAAAGCAAAGATAGTTGTTAATAACTCGCAACTTATACGAGTTGCTGTTGAAACTTAGCATAAATCTTGTCGGTGGTGTTAATATATGAGTACTTCAACATATTTTTTTCATTGAAATGTTAGATGTCAGCGAATTTGGGGCGTTTGTACATAAAAAGTATAAATTATCCTAGCCACAGTTTGTACTTTCTATATTAAAACATTTATAATTTAAAATCAGTTTCTTAAAAAGCAACTGCTCAAAACGGTGACGATGTACACGAGTCTGCCTCAGTACTTTCAAACTTGTATTATATTTATTCATGCAAGACCCAACTCAATCAGTACATAAATTGAAACATCTGTTATAACTTTGCTAGTATAACTCGTATCCTGTCCGTAAATATATGTAGGCAGTACTCCAGTCGAGTAAAAGAGACACCCTATTGTAAATATGTACTAAGAAGTATAAATAATAAAATTTCATAGACTGAGATGATCTTAACGCTGGATATTCAAGATAGTTAAGTGCTGGATGTCACTTTCCCTTGTGCAGTAATTCCCACACTGTTCTAGTGAACCAAAGGGATTACAGTTAATGTAGGGTAAAATATGGAGTATAATTTTACAGCACAGTGACGAGTACCTTGTTCATTGTGGTCTTGCAATAGAACCAGTCAAAATATTTTGTATTGTATTTGGACATATTTTGTATTTCTCATGCAAATCTTAATTCAGTGCCAGATAAAGCTAGGTTGGGTAGGTTCAGGCTAATTTAAAGTAACTTCATTCATTCATTCATTCATTCATAGTACTGAATATTTTATACACATAAATACCATAGACATTCAAATAGATGAAGATAAACTGAAGGTAAACTGGAAATAATGCTCAAAATAGCAAATGAAACATTGTCACAAAGAAACCTATCAGTAATAATAGACTTATCACCATGGAATATCATACAGGCTTCAGGAAATAAAGAATTACTGCTGACTGACTCATTAATACAAGTTGCAGTTAGATATCTTTGAAAAATATTACATCAATAAAGGTTGAAACAAAACAGTTATTTTCTGAAAAAATTTCTAACAGATTTGATTAAATTTCCTTTGTTCTCTTATAGATCATCATTCTGCATATCTGGCATCTATAAAGTTTCATATATTTCAAATGTGTGACAGATACAAGAGAGTTTGTGCAATATATTGTCTTATTTGTATAACCCAGAGTCCAGAGGTTTCTTTTTTTTGGGGGGGGGGCAGAGAGAATGAATGGACGTTTATTATGTTGTGATAACATACACAACAATTCTCCTCCCATCATAACCATTGATTATTACTGTGTGGGTCCCTTATAAAACATTACAGTAATATAAAGACTTATCAGTAAAGACTATCTTCCCTACATCATATGTATATCTGCTCTCTACCAATAGAAGATGCATTTTCTTAACACACCTTTTCCACTTATCTCCAACTTTGAATTGGTCATCACATAGATTCTTAAGACAGTTTCTGTTACTATCAGTTTACAGATTTCTTCAGAATTATTTCATCATAAAAGCACGTCTGAAAAGTAATACACATGGTGTCTTCCACTTCATCACACGTGGAACATCTGTGTTTCCTGATTCTTCTTTTGTACCCTTTCGACATTCACACCCCTAATCTCCATCGATCCATTCTGTTTCATTCTCTCTTATGGTAACATCTTATATCTTTCTCTTCCCCTTTTCTCTTTAATAACAGAATGAAAATAAGTGAAGGCATTTCCACCAGTCTGGGAAATGTTCTTTGTATGAGAAATATATAACCTAGAAATCATTCTGAAATAGCTGAATATGCCTCACATTATGAGTGCAAAATACAGGGGGGCAAAGCAGAAATCAGATAAAAATCACTGGAATAGCTGAACATGTCAGGTATGAAGACTGCATAATATGGTGGGACAAGGCAGAGATCAGCTAGGAATAACTGCAATAGCTATACATGCTTAGCATGAAGACTTACTTACTTACTTTCTTACGGAGCTGAGCCCTTCTTGAGGAGAAGCCAAATCTGCAGCTACTCAAGAATTTACCAGCACTTTATGGAACCTGAAGGTTCATTACTGTGTTCACAAGAGCCCCCCTCTGGTCCCTGTCCAGAGCCAGATCAATTCAGTCCATACCATCCCATCCTTCTCTCTAAGATCCATTTTAATATTGTCCACCCATGTATGCCTTGGTCTTCCCAATGGTCTCTTTCCTTCTGGCTTTCCCACCAATATCCTATATGCATTCCTCATTTCATTTCATTTATACATCTTCCATAAATCTTGTCGAGAATACATTCTCATGCAGATTTGGAGATCGTCCTAGTTATGGTCCCAGCTAAGAATTACAGTTATCATCCAATAGCATACACACTTGTAATAAAATACTGATAAACATATACAATATAATAAATAAGTTAATTTTAGTAGTAAAAGTAATGGCAAACCTTATACAATTTCTACAGTTTTATACAAGTCTATTAATTAAAAATTCAATAGTTAAAACACAGTGTCATTAATGAGTTTTGTATAACATACATTAATAGTATAATAAATTGAAATAAAGACTAGTATACAATGGTATAATGATTGTGTATATAAGTAAAATAAGCAACTAAAAACCAGAACACAGACTGACAATCTTGTCTTCTTTTAATGTTAAAGCAAGACAGCTACTCACATCTTAAAAAGATTTATGACAGAAATATTCCTGTAAAGAATAAAAAGAATGTAAATATAAAAATTGTTTCAATTGTACCTCAAAACTCTTAGTGTCACTCGATATATCCTTAATATGTTGTGGTAGATTATTATAGACCTTTGTTCCTAAACAATAAACTCCCTTTTGGTATTTACTCAAATTTACAAGAGGCTGATGGAGATTATTTTGCTGTCTGGTATTTATTCTATGAATCTCCGAATTTACTATGAATTTGTTTCTGTGTTTTATCACAAAGTGCATAAGAGATAATATGTACTGAGATGCCAGAGGTAAGATTTCTAATTCTCTGAATAAGTTTCTGCACAAATCCCTCCTTCTGCATCCCAACACAATTCTAATTATATTCTTTTGCATTCTAAAAATGTTTATACTTTGGGGTGAGTTACCCCAAAAGGGTAAACCATAATTTATAATAGAATTGAGATAAGAGTGATAAACCATTTTTAAGGTATTTATGGATGTGTATGGTTTAAGCGATCTTATTATGTAGCAGACTGCACTTAGTTTTGAACTAATATACTCAATGTGGTATTTCCAGCTCATTGTGTCATCAATGAGTATTCCAAGAAATTTAATATTGGATATAGATGTAATTTGTTTTTTATCATATACAATTTTTATTTCAGATTTAGGATTATTATTTCTAGCTGTAAATTGAATGTAGTGGGTTTTGTTATAATTTATAGAAAGTTGGTTTACTTTGAACCATTCATTTATACTATGAAAAGCATTGTTTATATTTACACAGAGATCATCATAGTTTGAACTTTTAACTAACTAGTATCATCTGAAAATAATATAGGTACAGTTTTATCATTTATAGTTTTGGGTAAATCGTTTATATAAATGAGAAATAACAGTGGACCCAGAATTGAACCTTGCGGGACACCATGTCTAATTTTGCCCCATGTTGAAAATTCATTGAGATTAAGATTTATATTTGTAATTAAAACCCTTTGATATCTATTTCTGAAATAAGATTCAAGCCATAGTTTAGCTTTACCCTCTATCCCATAGAACTCCAATTTCGACGACAGAACCTCATGATTAACACAATTGAAGGCCTTTTTGAGATCACAAAAAATGCCTCCTTTTAAGTTTTTGCTGTTTAAGGTCTTACAGATTTCATTCACTAATTTATATATAGCCTAATCTATTGAAGATTTTGTTCTAAAACCAAATTGTTCTTCCGCTAAAATGTTATTGTTATTTAAGTGCTCAATCAATTGAATCCTCATAGCTTTTTCTGTAGAATGTCCAGAATGCACATTGGTACAATACTTGTATTCCTTTTCCAGAACAGAAGGAAAAGTGCTGGTAAATTAAATGGCTAAGAGTGGAAAATGGAAAGTAGTGCGAAGAAAAAGGAGACTAGCAGCTTTGATGAAAATGAATTAGAAGAACAAATTGTAATTCACTTGAAGCAGATGGTTCAAGATGATGATGAGGAGGAAGAGGAAGAGAACTGGACAGGAGAAACAGTTACCCATCTCACTGGAAAGGTCTGTAACATTTTACAAACAGTGCATTGAACATTATGTCTCAAATAGCAGTGCATCAACATACAGTATGCGCCAGAATGTGCGGTACTGAAACTCGCGCATCTCAAACGCACATGTGCATTTGTCGACGGGGCATAGCTCCAGCTGCACGTGTTCCCAGTAGTAAAAGGAAGTTGTGTTGTGCAGTTGTTGGAAATGGGTCTCTCAACGGAGGAAAATTATTCATAGTTGAGTATTATTTCCGCTCATACGGAAGTGGTCGCTAGACAACTCACTTCGTTGGTTTTGAGCGGCCAGATGTTATTGTCCAGAAACCGCTACATAGTACACGTGTGACGATATGATGTGTCGTCTCAGCACACGATATATTAGGCCCCTATTTCATTGAGGATGAGGAAGGCAGTGCTCTTACCATCACCCAAGAATGCTACAGGTACATGGTGATCGGACCATTTCTTCAGGATTTGAGAAGGTTCTGTCATGCAAGGGACCTTCACATGAATAGACAGTGGTATTAACAGGATGTCTTTTCATTTCAGTACTGTATATTTTGGCACATACTGTATTTTCTCACATTAAGTAATTCTGTGGACAGAATCCTTGGGAACCTGATAGCCACTGAACTGGTCTAGAAATTCCAAAATTTTTACGAAATTTTAAGGTTAGTTACGAAGTCCACAAGAGCATGGCTGTGTACCCTATCATGAGCCAGTTGAATCCAGTATACAGCGATCCCATCATTTTTTCCACACTTCAAAAGCACCATGGTAGTCATTTTCCTTGATGCTGTTGAGTACTGCTTGCAGTTCCCTTTGAATGTCAGACACTCTTTCAAAATATCATCCCTTCAGTTTCATTTTCAATTTGGGAAACAAAGTGAAATCACAGGGGGCTAAGTCGGGTGAGTAGGGAGGGTGGGGAATGATACCCATGTTGTTAGTGACAGACTCTTTGGTTTTCATGGATGTGTGGGCAGGCGCATTGCTTTGATTAAGATTGTGCCAAAGTTTTGGTCTCTCTTGTCGCACATTTTCTCTCAAGCATCTCAGAACATCACAGTAAAAGTCAGAGTTGACCATAGTGTTAGGAGGAACAAATTCATGGCAAACAATCCCCTTCACATCAAGAAACGCAATGAGCATGCTCTTTGTTGAACTCGGACCTATCATGCCTTTTTTTTTGCTCTTGGTAATTGTGGGCTCTTCCACTGTGACGATTGTTGCTTTGTTTCTGGACCATAATGCAGATCCAACTTTTGTCACCCGTTATGATCCTAGAGATAAAAGTTGGGTCCTCGTTGGTCTTCTCTCATAGCTTAAGACATATGTTTATGCACCACTGCTCTTGATCACTTGTCAAGAGTCAGGGAACAAACTTTGTGGCAATGTTGGTGCATGTTCAGATTTTCTGTTAAGATCTGGCAAACTCCATAACTGATGCCAGTGGTGGCTGTGAGCTCATGGGTTGTTTGGCAGCGATGGCCTTAGTGGATGGGTTCTCAATTTTTTTAAACATTTTCTGTTGTTTTTCTGGTGCTTGGTCGCCCTGAATGTTTGTTGTCATCTACCAACAGTCAACTGGCCTTGAAACGTGAATGGCACTCAAAAACCACTGTCTGGCTTAAAAGAGTGTTCTCCAAAAGCATCACAAAGGATTTCAAGGGTTTCAGTAGTGGATTCACTGATTTTCATGCAGAACTTGATACAGACATATTGCTTTATTTTGCCATCCATTGCAGACAAACTGAAACTCAAAATTGAAAAAGCACTCTGTAAAAACAACGCCGTTTCACATGGCAGACTGATGCAGTAGGCTTGTGGAAGTGTGATCTTGGCCTCCCCTCTCATCTTTTTTCAATGAGGCAGTTACAACAATAACAGTCCAGGATGTTTCCAGTAGCTGCTCTGTGAATTTTTCTTGTAGAATGCATGCAATTTACAACTTGCCAGTTTTCTTTTTCAATGAATTATGTATGCAGTATCACTTCTGGGTAGGGAGTTCGTTTACACTCCAGAATTTTATATTCAGTTTTCTTTCATTCTTTATAGGTTCGAGCATGTTACTTAAAGCATTTGGAGAAAATCCTTATGAAGAACTATGAGATATGCTCTCAGAAAAACTGTGCTGAATATCGTTTCAGCCGGGAAGATGTAATAAAATGTGCTGTCCAAATGGAACGAAAGGCATTGCGATCATGCATGGTGGTCATCTTATACCAAAGAGCTATGACACGGTTGGTGAGTATTACTCCTATTAGGACATATGTTTACCTAGTACTGAAAAATCAATATTATGCTTTAGCAAACTGATACCTGTTTAACTTGTTTTAAAATACAAATTATATTTATTCAGTGTGCAGTCATATATCATCTTTTTGATTACAACAGGCATATACTGATTGAAGTCTGTACAGTGATCACTCTTTTATTACATATGTGCAAGAAAATGAGAAACTTATATTTAAAGAAACTAGTGTAGTTGGTGGAGGCACTATGCTGCAAGCCGGAAGGTTGCAGGTTCAAGTCCCAGTGAGGTCACTGGATTTTTTTTTCCAGTTGACCTGATCCTTCCAGCCGCACTATGGCCCTGGGATCTACTCACCCTCTAACAGAAATGAGTACCAGGAATATTCTTGGGGGTAAAGGGCAGCCAGTGCATAGGGCTGACAACCTTGCTGCTGTTTATGAGCCGATTGTCTAGAAAATGTGGGAACCTCAACATCTCACAACACTATGAGCCTCCACGGCCTGTTAACAGGAATACATTTACTTTACTTACTTTAACAAAGGAAAGACAGTATTATGTTAAAATAAAGAATTATTCTTTTTTAGGCTGCAGACATCAAGAAGCACACTGAACAACTAAAGCTGTATAAGAAGTTGAAAGACTGTGTCACAGATGGCCCTCTGTGGTCAGACAAGACAACACAGGTAGATGGACATTCTGGCTACATAGACAAAACAACACAGACTGATTTTGTATTTATGGGCACAGAGGAAGTTACTGCTGAATCTCATAACTCCCAGACTGAAAAGGAAACAGAAATGTCACTGTCTAGCCCAACTGGCCAGTGTTTTCAACCATTATCTGTCAAAACAGAACCCCAGACACCAGAGGCAGATAATGAAGAACCTGTACAGGGTGTACCAATTCCTGTGTATGTGTCAGGAATGATTGCCACAGCTGTTAGAAGTACAGATTACTTTCCTTTTAATGGTGTAGAACCCATGCCATATTATGAAACGAATCAAGAATTTGTGCCAAATGTAAACACAGATAATTTATTTCAATGTCCAATAGTAAGTAATGAATCAACAGTTCAGGTTAACCATAATGGGGCTAAAACTGAAACATTTATATCTGAGAAGGATATAAATCCAGAGGAACCTTATGAATGGTCAAATATTGAAGAACAAAGCAGCTTGAATGTAGGAAGTGTTGCATCTAGTAAACCTTTTTTGACTGTGAGAAGGTTAAGTGATTTGCAACAAAATGAAAACTTATCTAATGGAACATTGTGTGGTGATAAATTAAGTGATTTAGATCTTGAAGAATGCTCACGTATGAACATTGATGACAGAATTTCAGCTATACTTAGGAGAGAAACTCATCACTTTTCAGGTGGTGAACATTTACAGCTTGAGGAAACTGTTAATGAGGATGATGGGGAACCTAGTATATGGACAGTTGAAAAATGTCACCAACAAAATTTGTTACGTGCTAAGATATATGAGACCTGCTTTAATGTCCGTAAGAGAGGAAGAATGAGACTTCGATTCTTAGAACTGTTTGGCAGTGACAGCGAAGATTGTTTTGATGTAGATGAACATGTAACAAACTTCAGAGATAAAATTGCACGTTGGGTAGTTGAAAGACTTATGCCCTACTATAGGGAAGGTCGAATACAATCACGTCCTCTTTTCAAGTTCCTTGCACGGCATATTGCTGATACACTCCTCCTCAAGAACCATGTGCCAGGTAAGCAGTGATTACATTAAGAATATTCTTTAGTTTTTATGTTCAGCCACACTATGGCCCTGGGGTTGACTCAACCTCTAATGAAAATAAGTACCAGGAATCTTCCTGGGGTGTAAAGGGCGGCTGTTGCATTAGGCTGATGACCTTACCGCCATCTGTGAGCTGACTGGAGAAAATATGGGAGCCTCAACGTCTCACAACCCTATGGACCCTCATGGCCTGTTACAGGGATGGCTTCACCTTTTACCTTTTTCTGTGTCCATTAATCACTTAATCATGAAAAGTAAAGAGAAAACTAACTAGTAAACCGTTGTAGTCCAAGAGGCATCATACAATATGAAAAGCAAATTTTTACATCCAGTGTGATTAAAAAAAATATTAATGTATCTACTTGCAGTGACTGATTTTAAAAAAGTAAAGCTATCCCTGTACCAGGCCATGAAGGCCCATAGGTTTGTGAGATGTTGAGGGTCCCACATTATCTACACAATCGGCTCAAAGATGGCGGTAAGGTTGTCAGCCTTGCGTGCCAGCCGCACTTTACTTCCCAGGAAAATTATTTAATTATTTCCTGGTACTCATTTCTGTTAGAGGCTGAGTAAACCCCAGGGCCTAGTGCGGCTGTAAGGATTAGGTCAACTGAAAAAAATCCACTGTCCTGCACAAAATACTGTTAGTTTGAATTTTAGAATTCAGTAATTCTCTTTTGCTTGGATGTAGTCTGTATTTGAAGAACTGAAATCAATTCATCGGATTCATATTCATGGCTACCAAAGTGCCAAATCTTTGCCAGGGTTTCTCTTAAAATAAACTGTACTGATTAATGAAATTGCTTATTTCTTATTTCAGATATCTACTTAATGCTTTAACTTTATATATATTAGATCTGACTCTTACATGCTTCTTTAAAATGTTCCATGAACAGTAAGCATTTAACTTAACTGGTACATGAAATTTAGTAAATTCATATTTATCATGAAACTCAGATTCTGAAAACAAAATGACGTGCATCAGATAGCTTTTCTGTTATTTACTGCCATTATACTGCTTGGCGATGCAGATCAAACTGAAAGCATGGAATGAAACTTTGGAAATTGAATGATTTTATATTATAAACATTTTTAAGAAGCTTTTTGAGTCTTAATAGTATGCATCCTGTTGTGTGTCTCACATAAAATATAAAGCATACAAGAATATACCATCTACACAACACTCTGTATTTTAAAACAAAGAAGACACTACATTATCAACATTTGTTTTATTAAAGCTTTTTATGGACGCGACATGTTTCGGCCCGTATATCAGGCCATCATCAGGCGTACAGTGTTTGGCTTTAAGCTGCTGAACTGCATCCAATTATCATTCAGTTCACTAAATACGGATCCTTATTGTGTTTTTGGACTTAATTCAAATACATAAATATATATAAAATAAGTCTTGGTCAAAATTTTAACTGAATATACTTAAATAATACAATTAAAATTATAACCTAAAAAGTTAAAGTTAAAAACATGAGAAATTAAAAAACCAGATGCTGAAGATTAAGTTGATAAAAATTAACAATTGTGTGTTAATGGTAGGTATCTGCAACTGCTATGTGTTGACTTATATTTGCCAGTTGAAGCAACTATACCATAGGGCACCCGCATAATAGAATCTTCTCATGTGGGGTAGGTCATAACACAACCTTAATACTGCCTTGAGCTTAATAATTCAGTGATGTGATGTGTATTAAATAGTTCTATTCTTATGAGTGGAATACATGCAGGCTGCTCACTATATTGGTGTTGCTATGATGTAGCGGTTCAGTCTAAGCTACTTGCTTTGAGTGTAGTCTTCTTTGTTTTAAAATACAGAGTGTTGTTGTGTAGACGGTACATCCTTGTATGCATTATATCTTAAGTTTTTTAGTCTAGATAAAATTTTGTGATCATCAGGTAAACCGATCTATGTCCTAGAGTCCAGTTTTTAAAACGATGTGTTTTGATTTCTACTGTTTCATCATAAATCACATATTTATTTGTAGTAGTTGTATAATGTGACATCAATCAGGAGATTACTTTCTCTTCCACCACCATTTGTTCTGCACAATGGTAGTATCACACAGCTTAGAAACTCTCTTTATAGTACATTTTCCAAGCTGCTGATATAGCATTTTATTGTATTCTGTTTTAATTCTTACCTCATGGTATACACATAAAGAATAATTTTTTTTTGACAGTTATAGCATTAAGAAAATGTTTCTATTTAGTTGGAATCAAATCAGCTTTAGTATCAGTGGTGACCAATAATTTTTTAATGTTTATTGTAGGGTTAGAATTATGCTTGATAGGAATTAATTAGAAAATATTTTAATTTTTAGATGAAGCAGATGTAGAGAAGAGTGTAATGGATTTCTTCAGCCATCATGATATGATAGAGAGTGAAGATGATATATGGCTTTAATAAAGTGTCATTCTTACAGTACATGTTAAGACTACACCTGTGAGAAGAGTTATGATATCTCCAGTATTTTAGATGCCAAAGAATTGGGATATGGAATCTGGAGCCATGGGATGATCTCATTAATATTTAGTTCTCTATTTAATCCCACTTGATCTGTGATAATTTATGACTTCGATTTATTTAAAACAGTTAACCATTTATTTTATTGTAGGATGGATGTGTTATTTTAAAAGCACATCCTTATTTCTGCCTGAAAGGTGAAATAGTGAACTATAAATATGACTATTATCTTGGATATTGTCCATCAGTTTTTTTGAATGTGGATCTGTTGCTTTTATCAGATATATGGAAGGAATGTTTCCTACTCAGTTGGACCATTAGAGCTAATATCAATCAGTGAACACTAAAAGAATTTCTAAGCAAAGTGTATTCTCTACCAACATCAGATTATCATAAGTGAGACAAAAGAACAGTAAATTTCTAGTCAGAATTATGAAGCAACCACAGGAAGGAAAAAAAATTAAGTAAGATTTGAGGTTTTCACAGCAGTGACTATGAAGAAAGCAGTCTTCTGGGATGTGACACCGTGTAGATGTGATGTTAACCGACGTTTCAGAGGAACTTATTGCCTCCATCTTCAGGGTAGAAGGAAAAATAATAAAAGCCGCAAGCGAAGAGACGGTGAGAACCAGTGCAAGTCCTTCTTCAGGTAGGGCTGATGTCCATCAGTCACTATAAACACCTAAAGAAATAAGATCCAGTTGCCAATACTGAAATGAGGATAGATGAATGATAAAATCCCCAATTATAAGAGATGTCCAAACCAGTCAGTATAATGCAGAAGAGAATGAAATGTCATGAAATTGGTCCAAAATAGACAGCCAGTTTAAACTGAACTGCCCTGTAACTTGCTGACCACCTCACTGATGACTAAAATTGAAATGGGAAAAATTTTCATATTGGACTGGCTTACTCTGTTGGTCACGTAAACCCCATGGGGTGATTCTTTGTATTTCTTACATGCATTATTCAGTTAAGTTTGCAAACCTCCAGCTTCATCCCAACTTATATGGTAACCATCATCATATGCATGTTGGGCTAGTTTTAATTTTTCCATCTGCCTATGTCTGAGAATTAGTCTGTGTTATCTGAGACAGACACATAGCAGTCTACACTGGAGAAACAGAGAGACCATTATATTGATAAGTTTCGTCATCTCTTCAAATAGAGAATTTTTCATTTGCCAATCAGGAGCGAGGATAGCACAATTAGTATAACAAATGAATATGGGCTAGATGAACAGAGGGGTCAGCGTTTGAGTCCTGGTAGGGTCAGGAATTTTCTCCATGCCACCCAGACCAGTTCTGAGGTCCACCCAGCCTCCTCAATGGGTACTGGGGGCTCTTTCCCCAGGGGTAAAGCAGCCGGGGCGTGAAGCTGACCACTCAGCTCCAAGTGGTGCTGAGGTCAAGAAAACATGGATCTATACATCCACTCCCACATATATCTTCATGGCATAGTGCTTAATTAGTTAAGCACAGGGACAATTTTACCAGCCACCATAATCACCATTATTGGCAACTGGATCCTCCAGCATTAAGCATTTGCTGGATTAATTTTCATGTAGTTTCTTTTATAATTGTTATTGGCAATTTTTCTCTTCTTATCGCCCACTGGCAATATTTAATAACAATATATACTCTGCTTGGAATGTCTTTTGGTATCTTATAATGGAGACAAGCTCTTTCTAATGGGTGTAACTGAATAGGAAAATTTTCTTCCTTATATCTGATGACAGAAATGGATTCAGTCTCTGAAATGTTAGTGTTTGGAAAGAAACTGACAGTGTCCAAAATAAGTCATGTTTATTATAACACACCATTGTCTAGACTTGTGTACATAGTAAACATTTTGCATGAGGAATCTAATGTTCATACTTGAGTGCCTTAATACAAACTTTCTGCAACTAATATTGGACAGTGTCTTTTGCACTCTGTCTTTGAACAAAATTTGTGACAGCTCTCCTTACTTCTGTGCATGTGATTATTGTACCATACTGTGCAAGCAGATAGACTTGATGTAAGTGAACATAGTTTTGTGAAAAAATAGGTGACCTATGTATGTATGTACTCTTTTTTTATGTACATATACATATGTCTTAATGTGTGTAATAATAAAAATTATATGAATGGTTGTGTATGACATTTCTTTTTTTAAGTATACAGTATATGATATGTTTGAAATTTGGATGTTCATAATTTTTGCTCTTTTTAAGTTGTCTGTAATAGTCCTTTAAATTTGAATTATTTAGCCTACAAGAAAGTAAAGTATATCAAATCACCATGCAGTATCTGTGTCCACTCAGTTTTAAGTTCTGAATGAAATGACTGATTTTCATAAAATTTGATATGGGCATTGTGATATTAGAGGCCACCACACCTGTGTACTTTTTAATTTCCTGCAGTCATTAATAACAGTATGGCAGACTTGCAAACTTGTGAGGTGCAACCAACACTGACACTCCTAAAGTGATACATGGTAATAAATCTTTGGAAATTACAGAACTTTTATCTCTGTAGAATGTAAAATAAAATGGTAGCTCTATGAAATTTGTATGTAGCGTTCAGTTTCATTGTGCTAACTAATGAATCACTGGAGCTAGGCATGTGAGTACTGATATCAAGACATATCACAAGCATACCTATAAATTCTGTATGAAATACCGCTTATCAGCCAGCGATTACAAATATGGTAACAGTGTAAAATTTTGACATTATAAATCTTACATAATGTCACATATGATGTCTTCCCATAGGTCCTGTAGATTTCTCTAAAGGATCACAAATATGCCCTCCCGTAAGAGTCCACACAGTCTGACTGTGTGAGATATGAAAGTTTCAAGTGATAAGGAAATTTATTGCCTCTGGGAGGGAGATGCCTTGGGAAACCATGGTACAGTAAGTTAGTATTGTTCTCCCACCTCTTCAGCATTCGATCTTTTATCCATATCCTTTCTGTATGAGCTGAAAAAGAAAAAAGATTTGTTAAAAACTATTTTCAGACACATTCATTGCCATTTTTTAGCCACTTGACCAAATGGCAGGCACAAGGAAATTAATAACTGCCTGTAACATGTAGCACATTTACGCTAATCATTTGAATCCGAACATATATTACCATCTGTCAGGCTACTGCATACTAAGCCAACTGGACACTGCTCTTCAGGTAATTATTCATGTATCAATAACAAATATATCTGTATGCTTTTAAGAAACATACAAAATAAACAGTATCTTAGCCATGATTCTACATATCAACAGAACTGAAGAATCACAGGGAATAAAATACAAAATTATAAAGGTCATTTTATGAATCTTTTAATGCAAATAACAATTCATTTACTGAGGCCTATAGCTCGTTCTATTTAACATATATATTTTAGCACTTTCAATTCATGCACATTGATTATCCTCAAATGACACTAATTGCTTTGTCAATATCTGTTTGAAACCAGACCACAGATGGCTTTAGAGGTTCAGTGCAATAAGAAAATAGGTCTGAATAATGAAAACAGACTATGAAACACTGCATACATAACAAATGCCTGGAATTTTCATAACTGAAGTTATTTCAGACAGTAAGGAGTATGTTGAATTTCTTCATTTTTTAATCTTTATGACTTGACTTTTTAAGAAACATAAACTATATCTAGGTTTTTATAGTTTTAAATTTTAAAATATAAATATTGTCATGTGTCCAGGAATCTGTGACAAATAATGACAGGTTCTGGATTGGATGACTGCATTTACTGACACTTCTATTACAATTACAACCAATTATAAGAGGTCACAATCAATGGCTGCCTAAGAATTGCTGCATTCCTTACTGGACTACAAGTGTCCTCTTCTGCTGTGACAAACTTGGTTTGGATTTACAAATCGGTCACTTATGAATCAATAAGGACGAATGAATTCAACTGCACTCTCCTACGAATGAATGAATTACTCACAAACGAACTCTCTTTTATAATTCGTGGTGAACTGAAGAGAGACCACCACCTTGAACAGTTTGTCTGTTATTATCTGTCTCATTCATTGCTACAGAATATGTATCAATCTTATGGCAATGCTTTGATTTCTATAAGCATATTCACTCCTGCGAAATGCACTTTTAGCGAGCCGTTGTCTAGCAATGGACTATTCTGTAACAATATAGCTAATAAATCTTTATAGAAGTACCATAAAAATTAGAATATATAATACTGAAATGCTACCTGTTTTGTATGGATATATAACTTAGTTTTCACCCTGAGAGGATAGGGTGAGAGTGTTTCAGTACATACTGCTTAGGAGAATATTTGGAACTAAGAATGATTTGTGCTCATCACCATATCATGTTGAAGCATGAAATGGGAAGAAATTTACAACCCATGAGAACGACAATAAATAATTTTAGTAGGCAAATCAGAAGGGAACAGACCACTTAGAAGATCTAGGCATAGATGGGAGGATAATATTAAAATGAAACTTAATAAAATAAGGTCAGAAGGCTCAGGATAATAGTCCAGTGATGGGCTTGTGAACATAATAATGAACATTACGATTCCATACACGACACAAAATTTCTTGAATAGATGAGCATCCATCAGGTTTCAAAGAAGGGTTCCTTTACATGAAATTAGTTATACATTTACAAATGAATATTATTAAGTATTATTGATTCCTGCTTTTTGTATGACAGAAAATGTAATTGAATTAGTTCACTGTGTTACACTGAAACAATTTCCTGATATGTAACTGAACAATAATTAGTGTACCTCCAGGCAACCAGATTTCCACAGAAAATTAGATGACTAACATATGAGGGCTTCAGTTGTAATTAATTAGGAATCTGCTTCAGAGTTTATGTTTTGTGAAAGATAAACCCCAAAGATGTTCCTTTTCAAATATTAACAAGGAATGTTACACTTTTCTTTCATTGTGAATCAATTAAATTAGAGTCAACTTTAACATTCATCATTTTCTGCATATTTGACTGCTAGTCATGCATGGTATGGCTGGGGTTTCTCATTTAAATGTTCAAGATGCAAACATTTTGGTTCCATTGTACATCAAATTTCAAACAATGTAGTTTTATACTCGAAAACCATTTTATTTGGATAATTTCCAAAAGTCATGAAATTAATATATGGTAGAAAATTCATGGGCATTAATTTACATATTCCATATAAAATACTTACACAGTTTCTCTAACATAGTATTAAAGGTGATGTATCATTGGAACGGAATTTATAGTGAGGAACAGTGGATCAATACTGGTCCAGACTGGCTGTTTCCATAGCAACCATGCTGATCTCTAAAGTGGGTGGTGGTCTGAATCTGTACATCATCTGGGTTACTGTAACATAGGAAAATTTTAGTTTGCACTTCAGTGTGCTTACTAATAAAAGTAAATAAACAATCATTCATTATGCATGTGAAATCCTTAAATCATACAATGTATAGCCTGTTATAAAGTATGTGAGATGGGAATACTATAAAGCAACAAATTTGCTGTGTCCAAATTTACTTGTGTGTAACTTTATGAGGACAAGACTATGGCTACTTCATTGTATCTACTTGTACTGAGTATTCTCATACAAACATCACATCTGACAGCTGATGTTCGGAGGAAAAACAATCCAACCAGCTTCAACATTGGTGGAGTACTAAGCAACAGGGAAAGCATGATGTTTTTCAAGCAAACAATTTCAGTGAGTACAACAATATTTAAAATATTAATAAATCAAATATTATTCATCTGTTATGATGCAAAGTGACTTTGTGTTTACAAATAATAGTGAAGGTGTGTTAAGAAATGTTATAATTTTCTTATTTGACTGTGCATCATTAAGTATGCTTATGATATCAATCTCTTAATATATAATATTATTTGGCTGAAATAGTAACATTTCTGATGTGTGTTCTGGAGGTGTCTGATTGGAATCTCAGCAAGGACACTGACTATCCTGACTCAGGTTTTTGGTGGTTTTCCTCAGTACCCCAAACCAAACTCCAAGATAGTACCTTAAATTAGGCTATAGCAGCTTCTTTGCAATCCTCAGAGGGACATCAGTACAATCGGAAGCCACTATTACAATATGTTTTTGAGTGCTAAAATATATACATATAATGTTGATAAAATACAATGGATATAAAACCTAATGTTTTAACAACTACAGCGGCTGTCTTAATTTGTTAAAATATTTACAATTGGTTTGTTAAGATTTTTGTTGGAAATTGTGAACCAAGTTGGTTCATGTCCTTTTTTATTATTTTTTAACTTGAGGGGGGCCAAATGTGTACCACCTTGTAGTTCTTGAGAAGAGGATTCTGCAAATATATTATGGGTGTATTGTAACATTTTGGCAAACCCTATTTTGTTTTTATGAGAGCTCTTGTTATTTCGTCTTACCTTTAATGTCATCCTGTAGATGTTTGTGGTGTGCTGTGTTGTGATACTGTTCAAGGGCATGTTGAGCCATGTATCTATACTCCTTGTGTCTATGACATTTGTGTGGGCGTGTACTGATGTTGTATTATGATGTCGAACATGTTATGCTGGTTATCACTTTCCTTTGTAAGTTTTTGTTCTTCTATCAATTTATTGATTCTGGATATTTGCATATTGTACATGTACTGGGGAAAGAACTATGTAGAAAAACATTCATTACACATTCAGATTACACCAGGAAAGAGAGCGATAATTCAAAACAATGTTTGTATTCTATTTTTAGAGAGTATCTTGTGTATTGTACCCATAAAATACTTATTCTGTCTCTGTTCATGTACATGTACTAATTGTTATGGATTTTATTTATTGCAGAATTTGAATTTCCATAGTCAGTATGTTACAAAAGGTATAACGTATGATTCTACTGCAATTTTAATGGATCAAAATCCAATACGTACTGCTCTCAGTGTTTGTAACTACCTTATAAACCAATCAGTAAGTATCATCCCTTATCTTATCGATATCATCACTTACAGCCACAATATTTTACTGCCACTTTCCCTTTAATGCCTAACATATTTATAACCTGATTATGTGATGTACAGATTAAAGATAAACACAGATTACACAAGATTACTTAGAACTTACTTGATATACATCAGCTTTCTTAGCTGGTGTTTAATATTTTGTGTTATACAAAGTATAGCAATTGTTTCACTGTCATGTTTTTATACCAGTCTGTTTGTACATTGAACTACTTAAGGCAGTATTGGTACAGATGTAAAATTAATAAGGAATATTTACCACACTATAAATATCTTACACAAACCTTAATTAAAATGTGAGATCTGTATATATATTCTGACTTTTTCAACTGTGGCTTTTGATAGATTTGAGCTTCCCACAAATTTAACAAAATTACCATGTAGTTTGGCAGATGGATACCAATGATTTGGAGGAAATTTCTTTCTTCATTATCAGGGTTGACCTGCTACACAGATAGATGTAGAAAATCTGGAACACTACTAGCTGTTTGCCAAGCTACACATCACCACAATACAGAAGACTGTAATTATGACTTATATGTTTTCATCTTGGTGTCAATGATTTACATTTTTCTCTGTTATATTTATAATGAAGGAGTCAGATTTGTTACAATGAACTGGTTATTGGTAGGCCTACAGACATTGATATCCCAGCCGATTTTATAATTAGTATTTTCCAGTAGGGTTTGTGGATGATATTTGTAATATGGTAAGTATTCTTCTACTAATTTTGCATCTGTGACAATTTCTTTTGCTACTGTCTCACGCTTATATGAAGATATGGTCAAAATTTTGCTGCCACTTTTAAGGGCTAGGGATACAACTCTCTATAACCACTGCTCTGAGAACCTCAAATCCTACATAATGGAGGTCTCTTTCAACTTCTGCTACACTCCTAATTAGAAGCATAGATATCTTCTATATTCATACACATTAATTATACTTTTTCCTTGCTCTTAGTTTCCACATTCCATTTGACAATAAATAATAACATACATATTTACTTTAGAATGAAGGTAAGTATAATCATCGTTATCCAGTTTTCTTTCTTACATTCCTAATAAACATAAATAATTTTAATTCTTCTCATGTTTACATGTTGTTATGCTAATGTATACTCATACTATTTTGTGGTCTTCTTTTGTGTGTGTGCATTAATCCCAGTGATTATTGTTTACATTGACTCTATTCAGTTGTACTATTTATTATGTTTGGAGAAATTATATGTTGTAAACATATGATCATATTTTATACATTATGCAGTTATTCTCTTTCTTGTTGCTTGTAGGTTTATGCAGTCGTGGTATCACATCCGTTGACTGGTGATCTCTCTCCTGCAGCTGTTTCTTATACTAGTGGCTTCTATCACATACCAGTTATTGGAATATCATCTAGGGATTCAGCTTTTTCTGACAAGGTCTTTAGTCTCTTGTTACTGTTATATTATTATGCATAGCAAATTCTCAGCTCGGATCCATCACATACCATCTCCCCTGGATTGCTGCATGTTTCCAGCATTTTGGAGTAGATTTAACTAATTAATGTCATTATGAATGTACAAAATATTTTAATTTATATTGATCTGCCATGCTTTGTATCTATTGGTGAAAGATATTTTGTATGTAAGAATCCACAAGTGACCATCCATCACACCTCTTCAAGGCAGTGCCGGTGAGGCCTATTTCATGATGACAGTAGCATTTAATGTAGCAAAGAGATTCACATCAACTGAAGTTTAATTTAAAATTTGATGACACTGTAATTTAACATCTCTTCTCATTATTAGCGTAATAAATCTCTTGATTCCAAAAAATGTAGCAAGGATATCAACTTAAGGCTTTTGTTGATAAACCATACATATTTGTTTCAGAACATCCATGTGTCTTTCTTGCGTACAGTGCCTCCATATTCTCATCAAGCTGATGTGTGGGTGGAGTTACTGAAACACTTAGGTTACAGGAAAGTGATATTTATTCATAGCTCTGATACAGATGGCAGGGCCCTTCTGGGACGATTCCAGTCTACTTCACAGAGTCTAGAAGATGATGTGGAGATGAAAGTGCAGGTAACATATATTAGATTATTAGATATTAAATATATATAAATATCATATTGAGTGATATATGCCTTTCCCCTGCTTGTAGAATGATGTCCCAGCTTGCACAATTTCTCTTGCAAAACAGATCACATGCTACAGCATGATCCAATTGATCAAATTTTCTTCAACATATTCCATTTTTGGTTATGTGTTATAGTTTTAATTCCATTCACATCATAATACTCATTAGTTAATGAATTATGCAACTAATCTTACTTGTTTTGGCTTCTTTTGTCCAGCAGCTTCTGGTTTCTTATTCCAGGTTGTCCTGTAATTTACAACACAGACCTTAAAATCACTAAAATAAACTTTGGTTCAGTTTGTATCTTATATAGTTCCACAACTTTGCCATTAGATATTAAGGAGTTATGACTTTTGGTTACTGTGTTTTTTTTCCACTATTTCCATGCAGGTGGAGTCTGTGATTGAATTTGAACCTGGACTGGATAGTTTCATTGATCAACTTCTGGAAGTAAAAAATGCTCAGTCACGAGTTTATATACTCTATGCTGGGTAAGATGTACACGATACTTTATAATAAGTATATATTAACAGGATATAAGCTTCCAATAGTCATATATTTTACATGTGGAGGCCAATCAGAGTGACTGAAATTTGGGCCATGTGGTTTATATGAATATACACACCAATGTTCAGCAACTATACACTGCACAGCACTTCTTAATGACTACCCTTGGCCTTGTACTTTATGGGAAACCACACATTCACATCATAACAAAGAAAATCTTAATATAATTTTGAAGATTTTACAAAATTTGATTTTGATCTCCAAGGAATATGTCTCTTCATGTCTGTGATTACAACAATTGCAAGCCTTCATGCATGTTTCAGTGTTGAAGCACTCACTCACCACAAATCAAATGGTAAATATTTTGTATGATCTGAGTTTCTCACAGCAGTGGTTATGAAGAGTTCTATCTTTTGGGATATAACATGAAGTCTGCAGAAAATCAGCTGATATTTTTGAGAAATATGCAGGAGGAACAAGCAGACAGCCAGCAAAGCTTTGCTTGCTGCATGCTTTGTGTTGACTTTTAGCTTGTCTTACTGTTCAACCTTGAAGATGGAAGTGGTATGTTCTCTGAAACATTGGTTGAATTTCAACACACTATATGGCATTATATCCCAGAAGACAGAACTCTTTGGTAAATATTTTAATTATTTCAGTAATGAATTCTGTTACACTTCTCTGAGAGTTTCAGCTTATACTTGATAATATTCCTGAGCTAGTCAGATGAAGGGTCAATTATGTACCATTAGAATTTCCAGTTCAGCGTGCCATTATTTTTAAGGCTTCAGTAATTTCCATAATATTCATAATGTAATGTGTTTATCAACCTATATGTAAATGAGAGGATACACTAAATGGATATTCCAGAAACGAGATTCTAGATTCTAGATTCACCTTCACCTAGATTCACCTTGGATCAGGATAGGATCCATCTGCATGCTCTCATGAATATAGTAATAATAATACTTCAAATTCCATAGAAGGCAGGGATCTTCTTGACCAGCTTATCAACTGTCAGTTTTTCAAGCAGGTCTCTGCTCAAAGGAGTTACACTGCAAATATGTTAAGGAATGTTATATATGTTGCTGCATTCCAGGTACTATGTTCTGCTAAGAATAAATTATTATTTATGAACAGGAAATAATTTTTCAGTTTATCATAACATAGATAATTAACTTCATGGAGCTGAGCCCTTCTTGAGAAGCCTTCAGTTGTGCAACTACTCAACAATTTCACAGCATTTTATAGGACATGAAGGTTCATTACCATGTTCACAGGAGCCTTCCACTGGTCCCTATCCTGAGCCAAATCAATCCAGTCCATATCACCCCATCTTATCTTTCTAAAATCCATATCTTTCTTATCTACCCACCTATGTCTTGGTCTTCCTGGTGGTCTCCTTCCTTCTGGCTTTCCCACCAATATCCTATATGCATTCTTTTTCTTCTTCCCCATTTATGCTACATTCCCTGCTCATCTCATCTTCCTTGACCTGATCTTTCTAATTATACTTGGCAAAGAGTACACATTATGAAGCTCCTCATTCTGCAGTTTTCTCCAACCTCCCGTCACGTCATCTCTCTTCAGTCGAAATATTCTTCTTAGCGCCCTCTTCTCAAACACCCTCAGTCAATGTTCCTCCCTTAATGTCAGAGGCAAAGTTTCACACCTAAACAGAACACCAGGTAAAATTACTGTTTTGTATGTTCTACATGTAATTTATACGTTTTTAGACAGGAGACAAGAAGACAAAAAGTTCTGGACTGAATGATAGCAAGCACTACTTGAATTTAATCTCCTCTTAATTTCTTACTGAATCAAATTAGATTTAACTGTCAGATCGTCATTTAAACAAATCTAATAAGTTCAGGTTCCATATTATTTTAAAAATATGTTCTCTTTATGAACTGATTTAATTTGTCAGTCTTAGTGCTTTGTACCCTAAGCAGACAAGTTCTTTTTTTATTATGCCTAGTTTGCATGTTTGTGCATATGTACTTAAGTCTGATATGTTAAATGAAATGATTATCTTTTCAGGGAAACAGATTCTAAGGTGATCTTCCAAGATGCCAGTCTTCTGAATATGACTGGGAAAGATTATGCATGGATTGTAACTGAACAGGCTCTTGAAGCTCATAATGTTCCTATTGGAATATTAGGACTGAAATTAGTCAACGCTACTAGTGAAGAAAATCACATTAAAGATAGCATGTATGTAAATTTTCCACTCTGTAGCATGTATGTGTATATATTTTTAGCCAATTTCATATTGATCATTCTTGCCATATATTTTATTACTCTGGTTTCATTATGATGAAATCCCATTAATATATTTTTACAGTTATGTATTGGCATCTGCTTTGCGACAAATGAATCAGACAGAGGTTATAACAGAAGCACCAAAAGACTGTGGCAATTCAGCACAAACATGGGAGACAGGAAAGACATTATTTGAGTGAGTTTATGAATATAATAAGGTTAATCTTTCTGAAATAATTACCAGTATTATCATAACAGGACATGTACTTGGGTCCAGGACTGACATTATTTTTACATAATGTATTTCAAATTTCATATTGGATATTCTGTAAATCAATGATATAAATGTCTGTGCCTGCAGTAATGTGATTGTGTTTTGAAGACAGAGAAAATAAAGGTCTCCAACATGTCAGCAATGTAGCCTACATTACATACTGCTGTCACCTACATAGAAATAGAGCTGAAAGAAGTTAGCAGTCTCATTCCATTCTTTTACTTCATGCAACTGAGTTCACATTCTGACCCTTTCAGAAAGAACCCTCTATGTTACACCTGAATGAGGGCTGTATGTCTTGGTACTTCTGTGTATATTCTGATTTGGAGACATTACAAGAAAAGAAACATTAAACAACTTTGAAATTTTACATTTTCATTAAGATGACACAACTACAATTTAAAATTTTAAGCTTTCACAGTGAGAGTATAAAGTTTTCTTGTGCTGTCAGCTGTATCAATATGTATATGTGTCTGACATTTCAGAAACTGTTTCTGTCTCTGTCATCAGCAGTCACTGTGATGACTACTGTATTCACAGAATATATTTATACACAGAGGTGTTGTCAATCTCTGCCTGGACTATAAGAGGAAGAGTGGGCAGTCCCAGCACAGACCCTATGGGGCACAGTCAATCAGTTGTCTAAAATTATGTTGCTGGTTGGTGACCCTTCCTCATGATGTTTTTTTTCATTCTCTCATATATTTTATTATGTTTGTGACTTACTTACTTACTCATGGAGCTGAGCCCTTCTTGAGGAGAAGCCAAATCTGCAGTTACTCAAGAATTTCCCAGCATTTTATGGAACCTGAAGGTTCATTACCGTGTTCACAAGAGCCCTCCACTGGTTCCTATGTAGGTGACACAAATCACTTACAGGGAATCCCATGTTTCTTAAAATTACTGGGTTGCAGAAAGAACTCAATGACTTTGTTAAAGAGGCCATTAAGATCTGGCTGCATCCCGAAAGCTTTAAACTCTGGGTGCTTTTCCCCTGGAAAAAATTCTCCAGGTATGTACAGGGTAGGAAGCTGGGTGGGTTCTGTTATTAATCTCAGATACACATGTTAACCATTTGTATGACACTGGGTACTATATGAATTGCCTGCTTTAACATAAAAAAACTGGTATATTTATGGGATTTATATGATTCTTAGACTAAACAAAGATTATCCCTCTAAACAGCATTAAGTTATTGGTCTCTATAAGGAGATGCAATGTCCTTTCTCTATAGTAGGAACTGTATCTTCAAATATTATTCACATAAACTTCATGCCTCAAAGGTTTAATACGTGTATCACTTCACAGTTGTTATTTTCCAAACTAATTTACATATTCCTTTTCTTTTTCCTTGTTTCCAAAATAATGTTTCTTTCTGACAGATTCATCAAAAAACAGACCCTAGTAAATGGATCCACAGGTAATGTGGCATTTGATGACAACGGAGATCGCATCAATGCTGAGTATGATATTATTAATGTCCAGAATCAAACACAAATTTCAGTTGGACAATACCATTATTCAAACGTATGTATACATGACAAATTCTTTAATTAAATATATATATATATACATGTATATGTTCTGAAATTAGGAAATATAATTATTAATTAATAATCACTGTAGATATGAACCAATTTACATTCTCATACAGCAATGTTATTCTGTTCTTACCATATTAAATTTGTATTTTCTGTATGTTACACACAGGAACAAAAAAGAATGAAACTAAAACTAGACAAGAGTGCTATCATATGGCCTGGGAACACAGACAAACAGCCTCCTGGGTTCATGATCCCTACACATCTGAAAGTCCTGACTATTGAAGAGAAGCCATTTGTATATGTACGTGAAATCCAAGCTGAAGGAGAAGGATGTACTCCAGATGAGATACCATGCCCACACTTCAATAATACAAATGATGGTGCTGAAAGATTTCTTACTTTTTTTGTGGTTAATTATGTGTGCATTACAGAGAGATTGCAGAATAGTAGTTAAGAATTTTGAGTAGGTCAGTATATGGCAGTAGCAATCATGGCCTACTCCAAAGTACTATCTGGGAATATTGTTTACAGAACTGAAAAAAACAAAGTCTTAGTCAAATTAGCTATTTCACAGTTGATGTTAAAATAATGGTCCTCCTCTGTGTGAGTTACTGTTGTACAGTGACATTCTTCCATCATAAATTTTCTTTCTATATAATGAATATTATACACATTTTAATTAATACATATATGCAAATACATTTAAGAAATTACATTCCTTGTTAAGTTTTTTAAATATAAATGATAAACTTAGTGCCAAATTTCTTTGTTATTTATGTGACAATTATCAGCTATTGCATTGCTGGTGATTTCCATATACTCTGGAAATAAAAAAATACAACAAATCATTTTTCCTCAGAATTTTCTTTTATGGAGGGTTTTACTCATAAAATATCAAAGAACTTTCTACATTGAATAAACCACCATAACATGACAAAAATTGAACTTTCATAACTGCATATTTAAATCCCATGTATTGTTTAAAACCAGCAGTGGGAAGGAACGTGTTAACACTTTACTGCACCTGACTAGTAGAATGAAGCAACCTCCATAAAAAGAATCATTTTTGAGAAGCTAGTAATTTCTCAGCCAGTCAACAAAATTACCATCTTTATGAAATCCAAAGGTTCACAACAGTCTACCACTAATCCCTACTCTAATCCAGATGAATCCAGTCCATGCTCTCTTTTAAGACCTAGGGGTCTCCTAAGTGATCTCTTCCTTTCAAGTGTTGTGATTAAGATGTATGTGTTTCTCATCTCCTCCACATGTGCATGTCCAAGGGCTAATTTAAAATTGTAAACATTCTACTTTTTTACAGTGATGAGTTTTTAGTCCCCTCCCAACTCCCAAGCTGAGGGACCACCTCTTTCAGTTCTCTGCAGTTTTCTCATTACTACATTTTACATTTATTTTTCACTTCATGGATCCAATCATCTCCCCATAGGGCTGCATCTAAAACATGTCACATATTAAAAATTCATGATGACTACATATAATTCGTCCTTCGTTCAATAAAATACATAGATTGGATAAAAAGTAGTGGCAACTCCTCTATAGTTCTGAAATTACTTTATTACCTGAAGTAAACACACGTACATTCCTTCAATATAATCGCCCCCCATGTGTACCACCTTCTGCCATATTTGTGGATGGCATCATACACCATCAGTGTGTCCACTTCTGTTGATGTCCAGCAGTGACTGCCCTACAGCATGAATAATCTCCTCTCTTGTGTTGTAACATAACCCTTGCAGTGGTTCTTTCATTTTGGCAAAGATATCATAAATGCATGGACTCATATCGGGTGAGTATGGCGGATGTTGCAGTATCTCCCATCGCCAGCGGTGAAGGAGATCCTTGACAGCATCAGAAGTATGAGCCCTTGCATTGTCATGAAGGATGATGGGGTTCGTTCCCAACAAGTGTCGCCACTTTCTCCTGAGTGCTGGACAAAGCTGATTATGCAGGAAATTGCAGTAGTAAGCAGCGTTTACCGTCTGTCATTGACATACAGTGTGGTGCAGTATCACTCCATCAATGTCATATGCCACAATGAACATTGCCTTCACATTACTCTGTGTAGGGTGCACTTTCTTTGGACGAGGAGAACCAGGATGCTTCCATTCATTTGACTGTCGCTTCAAGTGCGGTTCATATGAGCAAGCCCAAGTTTCATCCAGAGTGATGATCCTTCCAAGGAAGTTGTCACCTTCCTTCTGGTAGCAGTCCAACAAATCCTGTGTAATTGCACAACGTTGCCATTGTTGCACCTCGGACATTGTATGGGGTACCCAACACACTGCAATTCTGTAGTATCCAAGAATATCATGCAGAATGTGGAGCACAGTTTTGTGAAATATGCCTACCTCAGCAGCTAACTCCCACGCAGCCAACTCCCACACAGCCCATCGACGATCGATATCCAGCAAAGAAGCAAGAAGCTGAATTGTGTGGTTGTTAACATGGAGTCGTCCTGAATGATGGCTGTCCTGAATGGCATCCCTCCCTTCACAGAACAATTTCACCCATCATGCCACTGTGCGATATGGCAAAGCCGCATCACCACATGCTTTTTGCAGTCCCTGATAACAGTTTTGTGCACTACAACCTTGTGCAACGTCAATTTTTATCCAGGAGCATTGTTCTTGTTTCGTAAACATGTTCTTAGGGCCCTTGAACTGGGCTCTTGCACTTCAAGACGATGCACAGTGCAACTCAATGAAACACAACCAGAGCCACTCACTTCACTACTTCAACTGAACTTCTGTTATCAGCTACAGACTGCGCTAGTGCCACCTGATGCACATCTTTCATATTACAGCAATGTTGCCACTACTTTTTATCCAACCCTTGTATATAATCAGGCCTCACACAGATAGCTCAAGTTGTCAGGACAACACACATGGGCCATGAAAAAACCACTGTCAAATTCACACCTTGCCATTCCACACACACTGGCAAGCTGTATCATCCAAAGAGTTACATTATAAAATATTAATATTCATAACAAAAACAGACATCATTCCCCATAACTGGGAGTCTGTCTTCTTTATCCATTACTTATGGCATGCCTTAGTGACAATGGGATCCACTTACATGGCAAACATGTTACAGTGAGATGCTCTCCTGAAATGCTTGATGTGTTAAAACATAATGTGTAAAGGATATAAAATAATCTGATGTTTTAGTAGGTGAATACAACAAATTTACATATCATGGTACATATCTGGTACCCAGAGCCATCCTTGACACTGTGCAGAAGACAAAAAATCTCTTGCCCTGCCAGGAATGCAACTCTGATTCCTGAGTCATCCAGCTCATAGCGTAGTCACTGTACTGATTGAACTATCTCAGCTAGGCTAATTCAAAGTAATAAGAATGTGCATTAAATAATAACTTTTTCCCAGAACAATGATGATGATTATAAAACATTTCCACCACTCAGTACATAATAATACACAACTGCTATCAATAAATTAAAAAACTGACTTGGATAAGATTTTATCTTATGTTTGTCTGCACAAGCTCAACATGGCATTCCCTTAAGCCCAACTGCATTCTTCCTTGGATTATGAATGTAATGTACATTATCCAGACATAACAGTAAAAGAATTGTAGGACTGGATATCTGTAGGTTTTATGAGTTATGACTGAAACTTCTTGTAAGCATTTTGATCCTTTCAAATATATATATATATATATGTGCAATATTTGTGAACTTTTGGATTCAATATAAATTCATCACCTAAAGTTTGTGCAACTGAAATTGTGTCATTAGCCTGTCACTTATGTGTATGCACATTTGGTTTATTTTTCTCTGCCTCTTCTTACATATGAGGGTTGTAATTATTATGTCCTGTGTGTCTAATAAGCAAATGAAGTATGTCTATATGATACACATCTCAGCTTGTTGTGTATTTTAGTTAGCAGTGATATGAAACTGATCTTGCAAGTTGAAATGTGTTATTTTTCAAAACAGGTTTCAAGCAATACTGCTGCAAGGGGTTTTGCATGGACCTTCTCAAGGAACTGGCCAAAAAGATTAACATCACATATGAGCTCTTATTATCTCCTGATGGCCAATTTGGTAGTTACATTATACGGAATAGCACTGGTAAATACTGTTCCATTTGTTGTATATATATATATTCGCTTGCGGACTAAAAACACGGAGTTTCTTTTTTATACAGACACTTCACAATATTTTTATTATGAAATGTTAATGTCTAGATGCCAATGCATAGCACAACATTTTCGATAAACAAAGCACCTAAATAATGATCAGCTTACCAATATCAAGTAAATCAAGTAAATTAAACCAAACCAATGAGAAAATAAATAAATATACTATTGCTGACATTCCTTTTCAACAGCTGATGTTGGTATTCTGAAAGTAAATTTGATAGTTCAATGTGTAAATTTAGGATTTTACAAAATTTATCTCCGTCCTTCAAGACAGATGCTGGGGTAATATTGTGAAATAGACAGTAGCTGGGAACCTACATCTACAATTTATATTGTAGGATGCAGACCCACTACTAGATAGTGTCTGTGAAACAAACAAGTAGCCAGTTGATGTCAATCTATGAAGCAAAGACTAGGTGGTGGGTGTGAGATGGCCGCCAGCCTGGGAGTTAGTCAATTGGAGCAAGAGTTCAGAGTTGTTGAGTATTTAGCCAGAGGGCAATGAAGTGAGCATGGAAGCTGAAGAATCTTCATTGTCAAGATCTGTTAACTGAAAAACGAATAGTGAAAGCAGACTGAGAAGGCTTAGTGTGTGCTGTAGTGATTCTTAAATTGTGGAGATTAGCAATAATGTTACAGTTACTTGTAGTTACGCTGCATAAATCCAATCTCCAATCTAAGCCCCATTAATATCCACATTAACACCAGACAACTGGTGTCAAAAGTGGTTGGATTGGAATCACACCAAGGCGCATGACATGGAGACCACAGTAAGAAGCTATATCACCACACTAAGGAAATGGAACAAATGATGACATGCCTGCTGGCTGATATATGAACCAACTGAGAGGTGATAAAAGAAGGAATGGAGACTACCGGAGAAAAAATGAAGACTAACCAAGAGGAAATAAAATAAGATATAAGAACGAAGCAAGCAAAAGCAGACAACACTCTAAAGGAAATGAAAGAAGAAATGATGGCAAGGATGGAAGCCAGGATAGATGCCAAAAATGAGAAGTTTGAGGTCCTTCAAAGCACTCTTGTTTCCCAGATGGATATCCACCAAACCAAGACAGGGGCCATTCAAGAACGAATAATAGCGTAGATGGTCGCCCATCAGGAAAGGATGATAGACAGTGTGAATGCCTGGTGAAAGGAGATGACAGCCTGCCTGAAGAGCAAGGAGCCAACCTCAGTGGACAGAGAGTCCACAGTTGTGCATGGAGAGATCCCTAAAGAAGAGGCCACAGTGAAAACTGCCAGCATACTGAAGGAGCAGTATGGGGACTGGCATCTAACCATAGGGTGTCACCGACTGCTGAAGCAATGGACCCAGGGCAATGGTGGTTCTAGGAAGAAGTTGGATGCTGCCTGCAGAGGGATCACGTGCCATACCATTCCTGCACCAAACGAAGGATATGGTCATCAGGGACCAGGTAGGAACAATGTTGCAAGAGGAGCTCCTAAAGAATGGATTCTTGAGAGGAGGTAACAGATGCACCATGAATGCAACAATGGAATGAGGGACAGAGACTTAAAAGACTTAAAGGAGCAACTACAACTGAGGAAGGACAGAACACTGGGCAGGATCTTAAGGAAGATAGTAGAGCTGGAGGTCACAAAGCAAATAGTTGAAATTTCCATTACACTGTAGAAAATCAGTGACTGGCCATTGTGGAGTGGTCAGCCCCCTCCAAAACAAAAGAAAAGATTGCACATAGGGTAAGAGCCATAAATGTAGGAGCATTCACAACTCTTGGAGCTTTCGCCTGCACCAATTGGAAAAGAAGGATGATGGCGATACACCTGGACCAACCGGCATCTCATGAGGGAACCGCTTGGGATGAGCGGCCTTAAGGAGGGAGCAGCAGGAACAGTGAGTCACAGGGAAGAAAGGTAAGACTGATCACAGATGTCACAAACACAGCGTATAGGCTATTTGAGACAAAGAGCCTCAAGGAGGGAGCAATGTAGCATGTAGAACCATTACTAGGTAACAACACGAAACAGGTTCCCATGGCAACAAGTCCACGTGCAGCAATAGAGGAACTGTCATAAATGGTGTTTTCTACACAGTTTATGCTGAGATGTTATAACAGAGACAAGTTTAGAAGGTAGTCAGTTGGAAGTCAGTCTGTGATTAGAAGAGTAGGAGGTTGGTGGGGGATGGCCACCAGTCTGGAAGTCAGTCAACTGGAGCAAGAGTTCAGCTGTGGGATATTTGCCGGACTGTATGAGCACAGAGGCTGAAGAATCTCCATTGTTAAGAGCCATTACCAGTTAACAATTAATGGAAACAGAATGAGAAGGCTTAGCAAGTGCTATTCATTCATTCATGAGTAATCTGTCAGACGACAGGTCCACAGTCTCTTCCAAAACAGTTCCTCCACTTGATGCGATCTAGAGCTTTCTCCTTCAAATGAGAATATCCTCTTCTGTCCCCAAGGTCATCCAGCATCTTCTTACGTCTTCTTCCTCGTCTTCTGGTCACTTCTATCCGCCCCTCTATCTTTCCTTCAATAACTTCTTTTAGAAGGCAGTTATTGCATAAGATCATGTGCTATAGTGATTTGTAAAGTGTGGAGACTTGTAATAGTGTTATATGTATATGTATTTACTTGTAGTTATGATCTGTAAGTGGTCAATAAATCCAATCTGCAAACCAAACCCCATCTATAGTCACTCATACATCTGACAATATATCTTATATCTCATTCCAAAATATGGAGCTCTAATGCATCGTGATGTAGGTGTTTCTGAAATATTGAAATTTAGAATTAACCTATAGATTTGATTACATCACAAAAATGGAATATAATTTATATTTAATTTTGCTGTTAGTTGGAGGAAAGAAAGAATGGACAGGACTGATTGGAGAGCTGGTAAATCAGCAAGCTGATATGATTGTAGCACCCCTTACCATCAACCCAGAAAGAGCAGAGTTCATTGAATTCAGTAAACCATTCAAGTATCAGGGAATAACAATTCTGGAAAAGAAGGTACTGTATAATTCAGTATTTACTATCAGTATATTTAAAGTGTATATTTTCTTATTTAATTTCTATATAATATGCATTAAGCTGTGTATGTTTAGCTAGAAAAAATACTGATTTACTATCAGTATATTTAAAGCGTATATTTTCTTATTTAATTTCCATATAGTATGCATTAAGCTGTGTATGTTTAGCTAGAAAAAATACTGATTTACTATCAGTATATTTAAAGCGTATATTTTCTTATTTAATTTCCATATAGTATGCATTAAGCTGTGTATGTTTAGCTAGAAAAAATAAGTCATGGATATAAACATGCAATGTACCTTACACGGTCTCCTAGCAACAGTCAGGCATATAAGATGGAGGAAAATATGGGCACACACAGATCATACTGTATAAGGATACTGACATTCGCATGTGGAAAAACATTATCCTTCATGCCGGATATGTTCCATTGTGCTTACAGCCATCAAGATCTTCTACATTGGTGTCATTTCTGCAGCCATTCAGCAATACCCTCTGGATTCTTGTGATGGTCTCAGTACATGTGGTGGCATTGGTTCTGTACTTGCTGGACAGATTCTCTCCCTTTGGTCGCTTCAAACTTGCTAATACTGATGGTACAGAGGAGGATGCTCTAAACCTTTCTAGTGCCATTTGGTTTGCTTGGGGTGTTCTCTTGAACAGTGGGATTGGAGAAGGTAATTTAATAATTCAACATACACTATTTTATCAATTTGATGATAGAGATGTAGCTATGAAATGAACAGAGTGACTTTATTCAACCAAATATGTTTGTCAAAAATCTTGAAAGGAAGAGAATGTTGAGGAAGACATATATTAGATAATAATATTAAAATGAATCTTAAAGGAATGGGATGTGAGGGTGTGGAATGGATTCATCTGGTTTAGTACGACACTCGGTCGGGGGGGGGGGGTGGGGTGTGGATGATGGTAACAACATTTTGGTTTTCNACAAACTTTTGGGTTCTATAAAGGTAGGGAATTTCTTTACCACCTAAGTAACTGTTAGCTTCCCATAGAGTTACTTAATTAGATGTGTTCATATTATGTTTCTGTAAAGTATTAGCTTTACCTCCATAGCAGCATATTTTCTCTGACTATGCAGGCACTCCCAGGAGTTTCTCTGCAAGGGTTCTGGGGATGGTGTGGGCAGGCTTTGCAATGATCATTGTTGCCTCATACACAGCCAACTTGGCTGCTTTCCTTGTGTTGGAGAGGCCCAAGACAAAACTCACTGGAATCAATGATGCAAGAGTAAGTCAGTTTTACCATTAAATTCTCCTTTACACCTGTACACAAATGAAGAACAATTGTTAAATTATTTTCTATTGAATACAGCTGGGATATTATCATCGTAATATTATCGATACTCATACAGTTTTTAACATGCGAAATGAAAAGCAAGATATACACATATTCTAAATGCTGAACCGCTATACTAATACATTTGTAACTTGCTCATTTGCTTATGTTAAAGGTCCGTTGATAACAAAGAACTTATTTATTTCAAATTATTTCTTCAAAACAGAGTCAACAAAGCATACCTTCCAATTTTTGGATGTCTGTGGCCATGAATTCAGCGAATAAATAGATCTTTGGCTGGACATCATGACAGTGTTAATAATGAAGTATAAGAAACATCAAGGCTGGCCTGTAGTAGTTAAAAACTTTACTTTTTGGATACTTGTTACTTGCTTACTTTACTTGTTAGATTACCAACAATGTTTTGAAGTATGGCAGACATGCCACACTCATTAAGATACAGGGATGGTACATGTATGTATCTACATTTTACAGAATCAGTCCTGTTGTTTAATTATTAGACCTCATTCACTCTAGATCTTCTTATATTTGATGAATCCTAGCTTCTTGGACGTGATAATATGAAATTTGGCAGAAGTTTACTGAGACTTCAGAAGAATGCATTGCCTCTACATCCAGGGTCAAAGATGGAGTCAGTATGTTCCTCTGAAATGTTGGAAAACTTCTTTGGTGTCACATCCAATAAGACAGTACTATTTGTAGTCACTTTAATGAGAATCTAATTTATTTATTTTTTCTTATATTTTATATATTTCTTTTATTTTTTCTTATGTCTTATATATGTTTATTTACATAATATAAGATTTGATTGTGCATTAAACTAGATGAACTAGTAGCAATGTTCATGTGGATGATATACTTTCATTGTTGTACTTCCTTTTATAACACTGCCAACTGTGAGAGTTTTTTTATAATGTAACAGTATTCAATTGCTACTACAAGTTTGATGTAGCATTTCTTTAATTTAATCAGATTTATGAAATAGATATTAAATAACATATGCTACATGAATAATTACTGCCTCATTTTGTTTTTAGCTAAGAAATACAATGGAAAATCTCACTTGTGCCACAGTCAAAGGTTCTGCAGTGGACATGTACTTTCGACGACAAGTGGAACTGTCTAACATGTACCGCACCATGGAGGCTAACAATTATGACACTGCTGAGGAAGCTATACAAGATGTCAAAAAAGGGTAGCTTCACAGGCATTTTCTTATAGATTAGTAGATTACCTGTTAATTAATTAATAATATTTTAAAAGTCCAGGCATGCCTGTCTCATTTTCACATAAGCATATATATTACCAAAATTTGAATAAATATTGCTGTTTTGTATAAGACTGAAACCTTCTGCTCTTTTTAAAGCCTTCAAATTTGTCATACATATTCTGACACACAGCTTTCAGTATCATAAGAAACAGCATTAGTGTCACTAATTAAGAGACCATATGAAGTTCATAACACAAAATATGACTTGTGTGATTCCACATGCAGATATTACTACATGTTCCTTCCTTACTTCCTTCCTGTCTCCTGGTGGTTGCTAGATCATACAAGGTATACTGCTTAAAGCAATCCATGCCGATACCTGTTTTGTCACTAGGCAAACTTTTATGTTTTGATTCATTAAGTCTTCTATTTACAAGAATTGCCACCATGTTGGGAAACAAGAGAAACAACATGTGATATTCTATCTCTTTTTTTACAAGCTGAATTTAATGAAATTAAGAATAATTCAATGTTTGCTTCTTGCAGTGCATAATTTTTAACACATTATGATAGTTACAAAAATTAAGTATGGCTTTAGTAAAGATAGGAGATAGAAGAAATAAGCAATGAATTATTTTGGAATGCATTTAAAAAAAGACCTGAGGGAAGAATGAGAATGTTACATAGTTATTTACAAGTGTCACATGTATACCTCATATAACATTGTGAAGTTGATGATGAACAAATTTGTTACTTAGTGGTTTTCACATTTCTAAAGCTGGAGAGAGAAATTAAATAATATGAACCCATGACTCATTTTAGCACATATTTACAACTTTTAAAAATAATTTATAAGCAAAAAAATAGCAAAATAAATTTTCTTCTACCATTCTAGACATTTTTAGAAATTCTTAAACAAGGTTTACCATAGGGCTGCTTCATATATTAAAAATGGCAATGTATTGCACAGTGCCATTCTTTTAATTTATTACTTTATATATACATATATTTTGTTGACATAGGAAACTCATGGCCTTCATCTGGGACAGTTCACGGCTGGAGTTTGAAGCAGCACAAGACTGTGAACTGGTGACAGCAGGTGAATTATTTGGACGGTCTGGTTATGGGATTGGCTTACAGAAAGGTTCCCCATGGGCTGATGCAGTTACTCTTGCTATCCTCGATTTTCATGAGAGTGAGTTTGAACACATATTTAAGGATCTAACTTCACAATAATATGATATCTGTAATTCCTTGTCTGTAATATAAAATTCTGTTTTTCTATCTCATGGTAGTTACATACCCTTACTTACTTACTTACTTACTTACTTACTCATGGAGCTGAGCCCTTCTTGAGGAGCCGCCAATTCTGCAGCTACTCAAGAATTTCCCAGTATTTCATGGAACCCGAAGGTTCATTACCGTGTTCACAAGAGCCCTCCACTGGNCTGCAATTTGCCGTGAGTCATACCACCGCAGAACGGATGCAGTCGCGGGGAGTGTTGCAACTCCTCCCCGTTACTGCATCCGTTCTGCGGTGGTATGACTCACGGCAAATTGCAGCCGCGGCGCGCACTTGATTGTACGCACTGTACTTGGAGAAGAGTACAAGTTATGAAGCTCCTCATTATGCAGTTTTCTCCAACCTCCTGTGATTTCATCTCTCTTTGGTCCAAATATTCTCCTCAACACCCTGAGTCTATATTCCTCCCTTAATGTCAGAGACCAAGTTTCACACCCATACACCTGTACCTAATTCATGATTTTCATTCCCCTTTCCATAGAAAAATGTATATTCGTCTGCTGGTGAGATGCCATTTCCATCCCATGACCTCCTGTACTCCCGCTAAATCTAACTTATATTTTAAGATTTCTTCTGCCACTGCCCTGAGCGAACCTGCCCTATACAAACTTCGTACATTCCAAGTTCCAAATCTCATATCCATACCCTTATATTGTCTAAAGCTATTGGTGTTTGTAAGACTTAGATGTGAATATTTTCAATACCAGAGGGAAAAAGCTTTTTAACTTTTAAGCCAAAAAGGATATATATTCTTAAGATTATGTAAAAGTAATTTTATTTCAGTATAGTTTATTTTAGAGCAAAGTGGGCTGAAGAATGAAGAAAGCAGTCTTCTGGAATGGGGCACTGTGTAGATATTGTGTTAACCGACGTTTCAGAAGAACGTATCGCCTCCATCTTCAGCACATATTTTGACAGGCAGATGAACTTGTGAACAATGCTTTCATATCTCTCCCCATTATGTGACTCTATACAAAATGATTTTACATTGCCATCATATTCTATGACTCTGTGCATCTCTGCACTTCTCTGTGCAATCTACAATCCACAAAATATTGACCTCCAAGACACAGATGCACAGCGTGCATAAACGTTATTCTTACAGAAATTTACATTATAAATAACATTTTAAAGATAATATTGCAGAAATAATGATTGCCATGTTATATAAATGAATAATAAGATGTGTCTTCAGACATGTAAATGATGTTAAGGAAACTTTGTGGGAGACCAAAATCATACAGAATGACCAGGTGTACTGATATATAAAAGACTTAGAATTATTTTCAACATAAAATATTAGAAAAAATGACCATGTGGAACAGAGAAAAGAGTCAAAGGCACCTACAGAAAGTGAAAATATCCATGGATGTGATGATGACAACAACTTAAGAAACTTCTCATGTTCTCATTATACTGTGGGCCTAATTTCAAATCTAAAGTAAATTCTTACAATTTTAATTTCTGAATGCAGATAGTGTTACATTATAGTATGGGAACATCCCACATACTATCATGCCATTTCGCCGATCAACGGACAACATTCCCTCCTAAGTCAATAGCACAGAAACAGACTTTCTTCTTCAGAACCTTACTACTAATTTGTGTCTGTCAGTCCCTTGATTTAGGTACAAACATCAATATTGTGGTATGTAGACCTGTTGCTAGGCAATGACCCTGAAATAGAGGCGGCCAGTGTATAAACTTTCAAGGTTCTGAGTTTCAAGTTTGTTCTGTTTATGAAAAGCAACTTCAGTGCCCAAATGCAAGCTTTTTACAAAGATGCAAGGAATGTGGGCATAAGAGCAAGGACCATTGCAGTATTTGCTGTGGTCTGGATGGGTTTTGCTTATGATTTGATAGCCTATGGGTATGTTGATTGCTGATGTGAGAAATGTGCATCTTTTTCATTAGATTGCCCAAACAATTTGGAGCAGTCTCAAATGGTCTCCCTGTGGGTGTATGGGTGTGACAAGAAGAGTATTGTGAGTGGATTTTAAACCTACAAGGTTTAATCCCTTGGAGCCCTCAAATGTAACATTCCAATGGAGAACATTTGATATTTTATTCCTTTATTTTAAGTAAGGAGTATATTTATAGCTAAACTGAGTTTCTAATCATCACAGATAAAGAATGATGTTTTAGCCAGAGTTATGATAATTCATAGTGACATTTAACATTCAATCATTCTGTTTTTATTGTACACATTCTGGTTAACTTTCTTAAGGGGCTGCAAAAGAGGAATAGGTATTTAGTTGCAAAAGTGTTGAACTTGAAACTTGTAAAACCTATGGCAAATATTCAAATTATCTCTGCCTGACTTAATCAAATCCATGTACTTTTTTCATTTCTTTATATTCATATGTCTATTGCTTTCTTTAAAAACCTCTTATTTCCATTTTTTATCATTTAATAGTATTGTAGCATGTAGACACATTGCTGGGCAAAGACCATGAGATAAGCAAATATATAAGAGCCGTTGCTGAGTAACAGTTTCACAAACAAATATGGTCCCATAGCAACAACTGAACTACAGCAATGAGTGGTGCTTTCTATGTGGTCCATGCAAAGGGGCTATAAACAAGAGAGTTTGAGCAATGAGTCAGATCCCATAAAAGTTCAGTTAAAAAAAAAATCTTTGGTCGTGGGTCTCAAGGGGCCTGACGCCAAGACGAACTGATTGGCGGTAAACCGCCAGTCGTAAAGTAACTCTGACTCTGAATGAGTCAGTTCTAGGATATTCGTCAGCTGGTAAGAGTGTAAACAGAGGATATTGTTAGGATCCTTTACCAGAAAATGACTAGTGAAGACATAACAATTTTATGTGCTGCAGTTGTAGTGATCCTTACAGTGTGTAAACCATTGGGGCTGTTATAGTTAAGTGTAGTTATGATCTATAAATGGTCAATAAATCCAATCACGAATCCAAAACCTGTCTATAGTCACTCACACATGTAACAGTATTTATCAGGTTTTCAGACCAAAACAATGTAATATGCCTATAATACCACATAAGTCAGCTACTGGCAGTTGTACTCCTTGAAATTTAAGCATTAAATACATGTTTAAAATGTTTTTAGTGTCTCCTAGAAAATGTAGTGATTCAGGCAGGCATATGTGGTTTTTTAAACAAAGCCCACAAGATTTTTGGTCCCTGTGGGTTTATCCTCATGCAGTCTCCTAATTTTTTAAACAGAACATAACATATCCTTAGAGATGCTATAATTAAATACTTGAAATTCCTATAAATGCACTGAATAAACTGGCACTGTTTTGTATGCAGGTGGTATCATGGAGAGCCTGGACAACCGCTGGATCTTACAAGGAAATTTTCAGCAATGTGAACAGTTTGAAAAAACACCTAACACCCTGGGCCTGAAAAATATGGCAGGGGTGTTCATTTTGGTAGCAGCTGGTATTGTTGGGGGAATTGGTCTCATTATCATTGAAATGGTTTACAAAAAGCATCAGATTCGAAAACAGAAGAGAATGGAACTTGCACGACATGCTGCTGACAAGTGGCGTGGAGCAATTGAGGTAAAGCATAGGGTAGCTGGTCTGCGAGCTCGCTGTCCCTTCACAAACATACACAGAATTCATGTCAAAGCAAAATCTTCTGATCACAATAAATACTGATTTAAGATCATAATTAATAGTACAGTAGTAATGTTTCCATAATTTTGTCGAACCCCTAAATATATCTGTAAAATATAGACATACACACGCACGCACACGCACACACACGCACACACACACAGTGCCTGCTTTCATAGGTCACTCCACATCTATTTCTGATGATGGAGACAGAGACAGCATCTGACACGCTGAAGTTCTACTGTACAAGGTTGGAAGCAATCACAATAGAGGATTTCACTGTAATTATTTCTTACCACTGAATTATGCATATTCTGTGCATTAATGTGTACTGCAAAAAGAAATTACCCCCCACATTATTATCATGTCATACAACATGCATATTGGCACCTTTATAATTCTGGAAAAATACTGATGCTTAATCACATGTATTTTGATTAAGAATGATGTATTTTATCTTCAGACTTTCAAAATAACCAAGTCATGTCGCCCAAAGTAACATAGTGTGTTTTGAATGAGTGAAAGTGAATATTATAGTGATATCTTCAGACGTAACTAAAATGAAACTAATATTATAGTGCCAAATCTCTTAGAAAAAATGTCTCTGGAAGATTAACAGTTAGAGAGGAGGATGATATTAAAATTAATCTTAGGAAATGGTTTTAGAGATTTCGAATGGTATTTAACTGATTTTGGATTGGGTTTATGGCAGGCTTTTGTATAGCAATGTTGAATCTTAGGGTTTGAATACACAGTGTTAGTTAGATTCCAGGAACCCATATTATGTTTAGCACAGAAATCATTAAGTACAATTTTAGGTCAAGTAATTTCATTCCATCATCCATTACTGAGTTTAAATTTAATGTCATAAATCTTCAACTTTATATCACTGCCTCAGGTAACTGACATACAGGTATAAAAACCCATGATGCAATGTGCCACAAACATTTGGCTCACAAAACAGACCTATGCAAACCATGAATATGAGGCCACTGTTCCATTCCCAGCAGTACCATCAATTTATGTTTATATGCTTAAGCATCCCAAGTCAAAAATATATAATATTTTAAATTAAGTATTTTTTCCTTCAGCTTCAAGGTCAAAAAAATGAATTCACTGTGCATATATTTTTTTTTTGAGAAAATCCTGTCCTAATGTAATTTTATCGAAGTCAGACTTTTCAGTAGCACTGGGACATTATCTGNTCAATGAGACAACAGTCGTTGCTAGGTAGCAACTCACGTGCAACAATGGAAGTAATGTTGGTGGCAGTGTTTTCTGTGTAATCTGCTCCAAGGCTATATCACTTGATTGACCTAATGAACAGGACAGTAACTTTCATATAAAGAAGAAAAAAAATCTGGTCATGAGCCCCAGTCGGGGCTCGACACCAAGACAGACAGACTGACTGACTGACCATCAGTCGCAATGTGACTTCAACTTTGAGCTCAGTTAATGAGTGCAGTGCAGTTGAGTACTGTGGAGTGAAGTGAGCTAGTTGTGAGCAGTCAGATGACTGCTGTGGTTCAGTCCTTGTGAGCTACTGCTGTTAGAAGCTGGTAACTGAGGTTGGGGACAGTTCAGGAACCCAGAGGTAGGGGAGCATCCACCTTTGGAAGCCGCTACCAAAAACGACTGCAAAGACATGACTGTGGACACTAGTGTGTGTATGTGTGTGTGTGCGCGTGCGCATGCATGTGTGTGTGACACTGAACTGTAAAGTGTAGTCGCACGCTGTATCAAAGAGTTCAGTGAACTGAGTCACCAATCCAAGTGCTGTCTATAGTCACTCATGCACATGACAACTGTCAGCAGTGGTTGTACTGGAGACCACAGTAAGAAGATATATCACCACACAATGGAGATCAAACAAATGATGGCAAGCCTACTGGCTGAAACAAGAACAAACCAAGAACACCTGAAAGAAGAAATGAGAGTCAGCCCAGAACACCTGAAAGAAGAAAAGAGAGTCAGCCCAGAACAACTGAATGAAGAAAAGAGTGCCGGCCAAGAACACCTGAGAGAAGAACAGAGAGCTGGCAAGAACACCTGAAAGAAGAAAAGAGAGCCGGCCAAGAACACCCGAGAGAAGAAATGAGAGCTGGTAAGAACACCTGAAAGAAGAAATGAGAGGTGGCCAAAAACTCCTGATAGAAGAAATGATGGCCAGGTTACATGCCCATCATGAGAGGATGATGGCCAGGATGAACTCCCAGCTAGAGGCCATGGTGGATGTCTTCAAAGAAAGTTTAAACAAAATGGACACTATGGATTTGGAGGCTAATCAAGAAAAGCTGAAGGCCACAGTGGAGCAACAGGATGCCCCTAAGGAAGAGGCCAGGGCAGAAAATACTGGAACATTGGTGGACCAATATGGGGACCAGCAACTAGCCATAGGGCACCACCAACAGCCAAAGAAACAGACAGAGGGTAGTGGTGGTGGGTCCTGGAAGAAGTTGGCTCCTATCTGAGAATGGTTGACCCACCATGCCATTTCCACAAGGCATAAGGGATGTGGTCATAAAGGTCAGATGGTTGAGAAGAGAATATGGAAGGGCCCAGAATACAAAAATGGCATATGGAACCGAAGCCTGAAATAGCAGCTATGCCTGGGAAGCAAGGAGATATTTTATGAGAACCTCGGAAAAACAATCGGGCTGGTGAAGTGCACGGTCGGGTCTTCCATGACGATTTGGAAAACAAGTGTTAAAACATTGAGGAGTACCTGGTCACCACCAAGTGAAACAAGAGGCTACTAGCAGCTTAAGAGTCAGAGATGTAGGAGTTCCTACCACTCTCAGAACTTTTGCTGCACCAAGAGGAAAAGAAGGATGACGGTGGTACACCTGGACTGTCTGGCACCTTATGAAGGAGACATTGTGCCACATCCTAACCTACTGTCTACACACAGTTCCACTTAAACATTATCATGACTGGGAAGCATTAATTTGTACTGAGTAAAGTGTTAGTCGTGATCACTTACATTCCCAGCAACTGCTACAGTAGATTTAATTAATATGATTTCTGTTATTTCTCAATATAAAGCACAGTAATAGTTCTCCTTACTGTATTTCTCCGGCTTCTAAAATACAATACCATTCATGACCATTATTTGGTAGTTTGTCTCTCACTTTACAGCTTGATTTGGCACTGACATTACTGGTTATGAGGCTCAAAATAACCTTAGCAATCATTACAGCATTGTTACATAAAACAATTCAGAGCCATGCATAATCATATATAAATATATGTAATACCCACATGGTCTCCATACACTTGGTCTGTCTGCCCCTCATGTACTGTGGAGCATATGCTCAGACCCATTCCAATTTTTATATATGTGCAAAATGCTACTTTGCCCTATTGCAGCATATCAATTCTCATTACTTTGTAGAAACACAGCGAAGCTCCATAATAGACAGTTACCATCACAGCCCTCATCTTGACTGAGAATTTTTTCATTCTGCAACATAAAGCAAAAATGTTACCTAAGTTTTTAAATTGGAGATGTTAACCTTTACAGATTCAATATTGTTTAATTATAACACTAAGCTCTAAGAATGGCTATGCCATAGCTCAAGCGGTTAGTTGCTGTCTGCCCACCGCGGCAGCCCAGGTTCGATCCAGGGTGGATTTGTGGTGGACAAAGTGGCGCTGGGGCAGATTTTCTCTGAGTACTTCGGTTTTCCCTGCCAATCTTCATTCCACCAATTGCTCCACAATCACCCTCACCCATCATATGGGGCTGGTACAATAGGCCAGAAGTGGCCACAGTACAAGGGACTTAGTTCCACCCTGCTAGCATTAAAAAAACCCTCTTAAACAATGACAAAAATGAACACAAATACATTCATACACAGGATGGCCTTCACACCTTGGAGCTTGCAAAGGTGAGCCTAGTGAGCAAACCTGGCTTCTATATGTACGAACGTTATGTTATTTCATATTATACTATATGCCACTATGGGAATGTAGTTCAAGACATGATGGAAACTATCACTAAAATCATAAAACTTAGCACTATGAAATTTCAGTCATTCAGAGTTGTAATAAGGGAAAATTTAAATCATTTCCTATGGAAAAATCTCTACAGGTCGAGTTAATGTTGGTGTAATTGGATAATATATATATATTTTCCTTTACTAATATTTATGGTGCTATTAAATGTCACAGCAGGATTCTGTTTGAGAAATAATTCATCATAAAAATTCTGAAGTATGTATTGTGACACTATTTGTAACATATGTAAAATATTTTTATATACTTTTGTCAAATGTTATTCCAAGTTCTATTATTCTATGGTCTACACTCTCTAGTTATAATCACTGAATACCTGCTAATTTGAGAAAGTGGTTAAGATGTATTTGTATACAAAACATATGATCATAGGTGTATGTTGGATGATATTCACATAGAAGCTTTAATCATAGACTTCCAGAAATGTTAAATGATATTTTTGGAATGAATTATGTTATATAATTGATGCTAATAACAAGTCTGACTTTCAGACACAGTGAAAGGCCAAAAAACCTATGAATGTTGATTCCTTGAGCTTTTCCAGGTAGTCTTATGGTTTTAGTCAATCAGATAGGGTTCCCAAGGTCACTGGACAAAGGTGGTCATTATACACAGTAATTAACATAAATAAAGGATATGAAGTTGTCCTGTATATGAAACAGAGGCGAAAGAAAATAAATGTACCATATTATTGTTGGGGGTGCTTCTGTTTTGAGGCTCAGTTGTGTTTGTCTATAGAATTAATTTAAAAATGCACATATTTTCAGGCACTTCCTGAAATTTTAATAATATAAACACATTAGTGCACAACACAGCTTCAAATTTTGTGGAAAAATATATGACTATTCTACATAAGGCACAAGATAAATAACACTCATAAATATTTATTTTCCATTTTATCGAGCTCATTATTACCAACACTCTTT